TATACTAGTCCGTTCTAGATTAAACTAGGATTTACTAATATATAAATCGCTAATACTTAGCGATTCGGCTATAGTAACACTCCGTTTCGGTAGTATTCTAGTAATAATTTTATTACGTAATAGTCTAAGTAGATCTTCTACTAAGGCGTCTCTTAGTTTTAGATCTACTTTTCGGGATAATATATCTATAGGATTTATTTTTCCTAGTCTATATTTAATAAAAAAGTTATATAGGGATAGGAATATATACTATCTCGCTTATCTTCTATTTAGCTTTAGCTACTTTATAAAAGTCTATAAATTTATATAATTAGATAAAACTTCTATAGGTCGGATACTTCCTTCTAAATAGTATCGCTAATATTTAAATAAGTAAATAATAGCGAATAGTTCTTAATCTAAGGTAGAATAGTTAAGTTTAGCCCTACTAAACTTTTAAGACTAAAAGGCTATAAGGTACTATTTCCTATCTTTATCCTTCTAGAATATAATCCCTCCTATACCTTTATTAGAAATATTAGTTTCTAATTATATATCCCTTTCTAAGTCGAAATAATATAGTAGTATCGGTAACTAAAACGCTATAATTAGATAGCGAAATATAAGTCTTTTATAGACGTTAAGCTAGACTTATCCGGGTTTTCTTCTATTTTTTAATCCTTTTAGTAGAGAAGTTAATAGGAGTATAATCTATAAAAACCGCGGTATAAACTAATAATAAAAGTTATAGAATCTAATAAATACTTAGATATTATAATAGTTTTTAAGGAGTTCTTAGTTCCTAATAGATTCTACCTTTCGGGGGTCTATAGAGATACCTTTCGAATCTACTATAAATCTTAGGAACTCTACTTTTTCCTAATAGAATATATACTTTAAGGCCTTTACGTATAGGCTAGCTCTCCTAAGGTTTTCGAGAACTTTTCGGAGGTATTTTATATAAGATTCCTTTATTAGAGAAAATATTAGTATATCGTCGAGATATACTATATAGATTATATTAAGGTAGTCTCTTAGTATATCGTAGATATAACTTTAGAATATAGTAGGGGTATTAGTTAGTCTAAATAATATAACTATATACTTATAGTACTTATATCGAGTACGAAACGTAGTCTTCTACTTATCTCCTTCCTTAATATAAATTCGATAATATATATCTTAGATATCGACTTTATTAAACTATTTAGCTCCTACTAATTAGTCTAGAATTTCTAAGATAAGTAGTAATAGGTACTAGTTTTTAACTAAGATTTTATTTAGCCTTTAGTAGTCTACGTAGAGACGTAATCCGCTATTCTTTTTTAGAACGAAGAGGATCGGTACTCCTATAGGACTTTTAGATAGTCGGATTCGTCTATTTTCTAAGTTCTTATTAATATACTCCTAAAGTTCTTTTAGTTCCTTTTAGGATAAAAGGTAGATTAGTCTATAAGAAAGGTTTTCTCCTAATAATATATCGATAATATAGTTTATAATCTTATTTAAAAGAAGGGTTTATACGTTTTTTATAAAAAAGACGTTATAGAATCCTTATAGTTCTAAAGGTAAATTAGGAGATTCTTCTATATCTCTATCCTCTTTATATAAGAGCTATACTTCTTCGGGTATTTTTACTACGGTATAGATATATATACGGTTCTTATACTCTTTTATAAACTAATATAGGATTATAGCTTTATAGTTTAAAGTATTAAACTACTATTTTCGGTTTAGTAGAGAGAGATTAATTTTTTAGTTAACTAAGATTATTATTAATAGTAGTACTAGACTACCTAAAATCCTTAGATCTCTATTAATAATAATATAGGGTTATATAAACGTTTTAATAATTCCTTTACTATCTATAATAGTTATAGGGACGTTCTATATCCTATATATAGTTACTTCTTTATATCCTATTACTTTAATAATAGGAGGTATAAGTTTCACTTTTTAAAGTTTTTAAGTTTTTATAAACTCGTAACTAATAAAGTCGACTTCTATATAACTATCTAGGTTTATATAGGTTTTAATTTTTCCTACTAAGATTAGAGTATAGAAGCGTATCGTTATTCCGATCTAGAGGGTCGGAGTAGAGGAATCTACTCTAACCCGCTCTCGTTTCCCTACTATTTTATTAAGGATCCTTTTATTTTTATTAGTTATACTTTTATTTTCTTTATCGGGGAGTCGTTTAGATATTTATTTAAAAGGTAATCTTTATTTTAATAGGTATAATAGGTAAGTTTCTTTCCTATCTTTTTATTAATAGGGTTTCTACGTCTTTTCGACTTTAAGTTCTTTAGATTTCTTTTTTTAAAGGAGTTTTCGTTTTTATTATATTTTTTAAACTTTCTCTTTTTCTTTTTTATATCTAGATCTCCCTATCCTGATTCGGTCGCTTTTCGTTTAGGTTTCGTCTTCTAGTTTTAAAGCCTCTAAAATTTTAATATAATAAAGACTATCTCCCCCTAAGTTTTTAGAAGAGTTAGGTTATATTTATAGATATAGGCTTAAAGTCTATAATTAAGTTTTAAGAAAAAGGTAAGGGCTCTTTATTTCTCGCTTTACTTTAGGAAATATTTTTCTAAGAGATTTAACTTATAATAAAAGTCCCTTAGGTCTTAATCGTTTCGCTAGATTATCTTTTATATTTAGTTAGTAATAGTAGCTTATATATTTATAGAATTTTTTATTAAAGATAGAGTCTATTTCTTAAAGTAAGCCTATAAACCCTATATAATTTAGCTTAGAGTTAAAAGTATTTCGTCTAGGTAGTTATACTAAAGTTATTAGTAGTTCTTATTTATATAAGATAGGATACTAAGAATCTTTTATTTTTCGGTACTATATTTTTTACTCGCTCCTTTAAATTCTAGGCGTAGTCTAAGTAACTAGTCTTCTCTTTCTTAGATTAAGAATTCTTCTATAAAGTTAGAGTTCTTAAAATAGATTTCTTAACTATATAGATTTAGTGAATTACTATAAATCCGGCTACGATATATTAGTATTTCGGCTACTCTTTTAAGCTATTCGATCCTTATTATAAGGGCTTAGAAGGTTTCTTTCTTAAGGATTACTTAAGAATTATCCTTATTTCGCTAAGGATTCGGGGTAGTTTCGGAGGGTTATCGGTTATCTCTACTAGCGGTAGTAGGTACTTCCGAGAGTCCTAATAAAGATTAGGTCTCTCCCTCCTTTATCTCGTAGATAGTAGGGTTTTCTTATAGAGGTATCTCCTTATTACCCTATCGGGATCGTAAACTCTATCTTATTATTATTTCTTTAGATAGTTAAAGAAGAAGATTCAGAATTATTAAGGTAACTATTTATTAAGGTAGTACTTATTAACTAGGTGAATAATAATACGAGAGGGATACGTAGTTAGAACGAAGGGTATTCGATTCTATATTAGTTATAAGACTAAATCTTACCTTCCCTTTTCCTATAGGTGTCTTCCTTTTATGATTTAGGTTCCCCGCTTCTCGGGACCGGATTATATTAGTTCTATCCCGATATCGTAGGGTATTCGGAGGGGTCTCCTCTATCTAAGAGAAAGGGAGCCTAAGGCAAAATAGTATAATAAAGAAATACTATAATAGAAAGTTAGGAATTTATATAAGTTAGATCTCTTAGGATTAATAAAGATATACCCTATTTTCTATCCTAGTAAACTATATAAAGTATCGAAGACTAAGCTATTATAGGGATAATATAAAGATCTAATATTACCTATTACGATAAATAAAACTAATAAATAGGAAGTTAGTAAGATCTTAGATACTCGTACGTATTATAAGAAGCTTTAGTACTAAGTAGAGTAGGTAGGATATAATATAGATCTATAGTAGTATCTAGTAGGTAATCTAAAAAACGTACTAGAAAGGGTTAAGGAATTCTATAAGAAATATCCTATAAAGCCCGGACCCCTAGTACGTCTATACTACTAGATTAAAGCTATAGAAAGCGAGAAGTTATTATAGGATTATAAAAATAATAATAAGCTAGTATTTAAGGACTAAATACAATTTAGATAGGGGGGTATATAACGATCGTAGCAAGGAAACTAAGTCACATAACTATATTTATCGTAGAGTAGGTCAAAGGTTTATAAGGTTTATAACTCGAAGACTCTCTAAAACTTAGCGATAGCGAGTTTCCTTTCCTCTTTTCCTTTATTTCTCTATCTTAGTATTTTCGTTAAATTACACTCTTTCTTTAAAGATCTAGCTTATAATAAGCTATAGATAGAAAAAACTTCTTTACTTAGTAAGATAAGATCGCTAAAGAGAAGCGCTATAAATAATTATAAGAGAGTAGTTATATTTTTAGCGCTTATATAGATAAAGATTCTATCCGAGAGAAAGATAAAAGAATACCTAAGACTAAGAGGATATACTACTAGGCTATTAATCTTTAGATAAAGTAAGTTAATATTCACTTATATATAAGGTATATCCGACGAATAAGTGACTTACTTACTATTAGGTTCGTTATACTATATTAAATTAAGGGCTATAAATTAGGGCCTAGCTATATAGTTCTAGACTATATACTTATTAAAGAATTTCTTCGGTAGTATAGTTATTTAGTATAAGGAAAAAAAAGTAAAAATAGACGGCTAGTAATAACCTCGGTTCTTAATTATATAGAGAGGCTATTTAGTAGATTTAAAGAAAAAATATAAATTAAAATTATATTAGAAGACTAAAAAGAGATAACTAGTATAAGCCCCTTTATAGATCTTATTTTCTATATTCCGGAATAAAAGCTAAACTAACTTAGGTATAGTAGGTAAAGAGAATATTAATAGAAAAGGAAAGAACGATTAAGAATATCGAGGATCCGGCCTATAGCTTTACTAGGAAGGATTTTCTCTAAGTAATATCCTCTATATAGCGAGCGGATTATCGACGGTTTATACCTAGATTACTTAAGGCTACTATTATACTAGCTCTTTAACTATATCTTTTTACCGGAGTAAGGATTAGAGCTTTTATACTAGCTTATAAGGATAGAAATTAAAAGGGCCTAAGATACGAGGTAAGAGTACTACGACGTAGAGATTATACGTAGCTAATTACTAAATAGGATATCGATCTATTTTTATTTCTATCCTCTATAGAACCTTAGACGGTAGAGTATAAAGTTAACTAAAAGTGGCTTAAAGGAAATCGAAACCTAGACTATATAGTATAAGTTAAATACTAAAAAGAAAGCCTCGAAAAGGGTAGCTTAAATTAAGAGCTTACTCGCTAACTAAAAGTTAAGGTTCGGAATCGGTATTTATAATACTAAGAGGCTATAATTCGCGTCTAGTTATATTCTCCTATCTATTACCCTTTAGTACGGTGCTCTATTTAGTATCGAAATAATAGAAGACTTCGCCTAGTTTAACCTTTTAAGTAGAAAGCCTATAAAACTACGCTAGAAGGATAAATATCTAAAAAAGCCTATTCTTAGAAATATTATAGCTAATAGCCTATAAGACGTTCTACTCTATAAGGAGCGGTTTTATAAGTTATTACGTAGAATAGTTATAACCGCTAGATATAGTAAGAGTTTAACTATTTATATGATTCGGAAGTATCTTAGAAGTATTATTAAAGGTAGGGTAGTTAAAGCTTATAGTATATTAAAAGAGTATATTTACTAATCCCTAGTATAGAAAACTATAGCTCTACCTTAGTATCTTAGATTTATAGATATAAAGATATAGGGATATACCCTAAAGAGTATTTATTATACTACTCTCTAATTAATCTAGTCTCGGCTATTTTAGGAGAAAAAAAATAGTTATATTATATCGAGTACTTCTAAGGTATTAAAGACTTTTATAAGCGCGGACTTCTAGAGGAATTACTAGCTAAAATCGAGGCGAGTATCCTATAGATACTAGAGCTCGTCGATACTAGACGTTAGTTCGAGTAACTTAAAGAATTAAGCGACAATAAAGAGCTTTTAACTACCGAGAAGCTAAACTATAGAAAGGCCTTAATTCGATTTCGTCTTATAGAACTAAAGTGATACTAGAACCGCTAGGTACGAGAAAGACGAGACTAAAGGATCCTTAATAGGGGTAAAGAAGAGCTAGTAATTAGTGACGATAACGTTTCTACGCGGGCTTAATCCTTACTTATACCCGAAATCGCCCGGATTTTAAAACTAATATCTTCTAATAAGGAGCTTTTATTTAATAAAATACTCCTTTTCGTAGATAATCTAAAAGCTTATTATAAACGCGATTTCGGGGTAGCTTACCTTCTACGGGAAAGTCCTATTTAAGGTCGCTACCCCGCTAGAGGCTACTTTAAAGAAATTAAATAGTAGGTTACTATATTATATAATTCTAAAATAAATACTAACTTCCCTAGTCTAAAAAAACCCGATAGAAGTACTTATATTTATAACTATATTCGACGTAAGATTACTTTAGATCTTAAAGTCTTAGAATTATAGTTAAGGTTTTATTACGAGTATATAGATTAGCTATAATTAACTTAATAGCGAAATCACTACTCTTCCTATCTCTAATTATAGAAAATATAGCACTATAAAGTTATTATATACCGCTATATAGTTATCCGGCCTAGCTACTACCCCTTCTACTTATAGGATATAGACCTTAACGCGGAAGATTAATTATATTAATAGTTAAAAAGCGGTAATCTAAAGTAATATATTAAAGAGAAGTATATATTTAGAGACTAGGGGTCTAGAGCGAAGCCGACCTATAGATATAGCTAAGCTTTCGTAGATAAGCGTAGCCTTCGATATTATTTATATAATATCTATAAGCTAAATAAAGCTATATAGTTAAATCTAAAGCTCCCGAGAAAGATAAAGCGTACCTATAAAGTAGAACGGTAAGTATCTTCTATAGAACTAGAGGAGCGACCTAAGAGACGCCGTAAACGATATTATAGTTCGGAACTCGGAGATACTTTAAGTAAAAGTAATAGAAGTAGCTTAGTTATATCCTACTTTTCCGTAAAAGATTCCTTACTTACCTCCCCGCTAATAACTCCCGGTCCTAATATTATTAGTCCTACGATCCTTAAACCTATTAGACTTAATATAGAAGATAGATACTAGTCTTATAACTAAGTACCTATTTAACTAGACTTACCTAATCTCTCTATAGACAAGCCGGAGATAAAGAAAGAACTATTTACTTATTCTACGCGATCTAGTAAAGATTATACTAACGATAAAGCAAGTAAAAGACTAGGTAAGGCTTTACGACTAGATTCTCTTATCTCCCCTAGCGATTAAAGGCTAAAGCTTAGGCGCGAGGAGCACTATTATACGCTAGTAGGATCTAAAAATAAAGCCCTTTATAGTAATTAAGCCGGTATCCCGCTCACCCGAGCTAAGTTAAGACTATAGCCACCACTTAATAATCCCGGTGGTTCGAGTACTCGTAAGGCCTACTAGAAGCTTAATATATAAGAAAAGCGAAAGATACTTAAGCTTAAAAGCTAGAAAATGACACTAAGGTAGATTAGGGCTCTCTTCGTAGATATAGATACGGCCTTCCTACGATAGAGCTAGGAGGATATAGAGCTTCCTCGGCGATATACTAGATTATAGGCTAATTAAACGAATTATCGTATCTATACTCGCTAAGATATTTTTCTTTAGTCGAGCACTATACTTTATATTAACTATAGTATAATATATTTATATATAAGTTAAGTTAATTTACGTTTCGAGAATAATAAAAACTAAGCTCTTTACTACTCGTTTCCTAGTAATTACCGCTCTTACTTATAATATACTCTCTTTCTTAGTAACTAATATAGATATTAAACGTCTATTTAATACCGCTTAGGATATTTATTATTATTACTATAGTAGAATAAAGTTCTATACTATTAAAGATCTAATAATATTCCTCTATATAACTAGATTTAATATAGAAAAATAGAAACTAAGGCTTTTAGAGAAGTTCTTTTCCTAAGAAGAAATTAAGGTTATAAAGGAAGAGAGGGAGGAAAAGCTTAAGGTTATTAAGATTAAACTAATTAGTGATATAAAGAAATAAGAGGATAGTATCTAAGAGGATAATACCCCTTTAATTAATATCGATATTAATTCTAGGCCTAATTTACTAATACCTTCTAAAGCGACCTAGATCCGGAGCTTAGGAAGAAAGCGGAAAACTTAAGAGGATAATAATTATATATATTCGAATTAGATATTAATTATTAGTATACTATTTATCTACTAGTATTATAATATTAATATTCCTAGACCTACTAAAAAATAATTCTATATAAAAAATAGTTATACCTATTAGGGATTATAAAGTGAATACTTAAATATATAGGGAAAATCTATATAAGTTATAAATCCTATAATTTAAGGTATTTATATTATTTATATTATTTATAACCTAACTTAGGGCCCTAATAACCTAGCCGGGTCGAAGGCTATAACCTAGACCTAACCCCGGTGCGAAGGTATGGCCCTAAAACCTAACCTAAGTTAGGTTAGGTCCGGGTTAGGTTAGGTTTTTTCTAGGTTCTACAGAAGTCTATACTTACTATCCGGCTAATTATATTATAGAGTATAAGGAAGACGAAGGTAAGTGGTACCTCCCTATCTACTCCCTATAGGCACTAATAGAAGCTAGAAATAGAGGATTAGTTCGATAAGATAATAGGTAAGGATAGCGGCTTACTGCTTAGATTAGACTATGACTATAAGAGGGAAAAGAAGCCGACCTAGGGATGTCCTTTTGGATGTCACCGATATTAGGAAAATGTCAGCTTGCATTATCTTAAAAGGTTTTGGTACTGCATTCGATATAATTGATTTAAGGTAACAGAAGTTACATTTCTTTCTCTATATGGAATTTCTCTATTATATACCAAGGAAAAAGGTTCCAAATTTACTATTAAGATATATGAATAGGACATTAGTCACATATAACGTTTCTAGCCTTAGAATAATTGCCTAGGTGGAACACTTCGCTTGATTGTTAGAATGAATAGACACGGAGACAAATAAGCCCTAGGATCAAAACTGGGCCGCGGGGATATTAAATGAGCAGAGATTCTCACACGCGAAGAGGCCCGAGGAAGACTTATATAGAGTGAGTTAGGAAGAGTCTGATTTTTAGGGCGTTCTTGCTGCTTAATCAGGGTCTTCACACCTCCCGCTACGGAAGTTATATATATTTAAATATATACCTAGCCGTCGGTGATTAGTTTAATCTAACGCTTATTGTCTTAGGGAGCTATAAGGATTTCGGCGAACTTACTATTGATCTAATATGTGAAAGTATCTAGAGATAATCAGCAAGATTCATAAGTCAATAGTTTAGAAAAAGAAACTTTACTAGCATTTATGACAGTAAGTGATAAGGTAGCATCAGTTTGAGCGTTGTCGCTTTTAGTAAGCGCAACGATACGTTCCTAGCCATACTGTTCATCCGCTAAAATAGTTTAGAGAACCATTCCTTAGCAGACCGATATATTGAAAGTCGCATCATAAAGTACTTGCGCGATAAGCACCAAATCGAGTATGCCCGCGGGTGAACTCATGCGCGAGGAGTCGCTCTGGTGTGTTGTGGATCATACCAGAAAGGAATTAGTCGGAGGTGACGAGACAGTCTGCACAGAAATTCGCCGGGAGAAGTAAAAGGGTCCATACAGGTGTACTGGAGCACGACGCTCAAGAAACAGCGGCGATCTTTGGCGGTTGCCACGTAGGAAATGCCATCCTAATCGATACTTGGACCATTCCCTCGTTTTCTCTTGCACCACAAACTTACAACTAGAATTTGAGGACCTGTGAAACTTCGGGATTTTGGGCTTTCCTTGGCTCGCAATTGGGATGTCTCCAACTATGGCTCAGATGAAAGACGACTATCCAGCCCCAATAGTAGTGATAGACAAGGATCTGCAGCAGGGTGATAGAGATACACCACAAAACAACCTAAACGAAGTTGTAAGGCTACTTCAATGAATTTATTGCACGATGAGTTTGAGTTGCATAGTTGTGATCTCTATCCGAACCTACTTGATCCTTAGGAAAGAAGCTCACCTTCGTTTTTTTTTTTTTTTGTTTTTTTGTATTTTCCCTTTTCAAAAATGCAAGTGGACAGCTTGAGATACTCCATATTCCTTTTTTCCGTTGTTTTTTTTTTTTCGTTTTCTTTGGGGTCGCGTGGTGACGAAAGCCACCATAACGGATTTTCCAGTTTAATCATTGAAGATGCGCCCAGTATTTCTCCGAGATCGCAAGATTTTCGACCACTTTTGTCCGATTTCCCACGCACCGAATCAATCGTCCTGCCGTATCATGATCTCGGATCACCTTTTTCCAGCTGTCATAACCGTGACCCTCGTGCCATTTGGCCATATTCTCGTGTCCCACAATTACAAGGCCATCTTGCGCTCGGCTGAGCGCAACACACTGTCGATTGCGGTCTCTCACAAACCCGATGCCCATTTCGCCCCCTGGTCGAGTCATCGAGAGGATTACAAAGGGACTTTCGCTACCCTGAGAGGCATCGACGCTTTTGATTTCGATTGCTCTCAGGCGCAACTTGTCATATAGCAAAGAACAGAGAGCACGGCGTTCTTCATCGTAGAAGGAAAGGATCAAGATGTCGTTCTCCGAAATTCCGTTCCGAGTCATTCGACTAACCAATCCGCAAATAAAATCGACATATTCCGGATTGAGGACAGACGTTGAGCCTTTGCGGCGCCAAAGTGAAGATTTGTCAACAGATACGAAATAGGAAGTTCCGCGCCCACAGTCATACCAGCCGGCCATCTTAGTAGAGAAGTCCTTTGCCTTCGGTCTATTGAAGCACGATTGATGAGTTTTCAATTTCGAATCATAAAAGCTTTCGCTCACATGCTTGCAAATGTCTGGAGCCATCCGGTACTGTGTGCGGAGCTGCGTGTGAGGATGACCGGTTCGAATCATTCGTTCAAACAGCGAGACCTGTTCCGTGTTGAAACACTCATTTGATCCTCTCGATATCACAGTGGGTGCAAGCTGTGCAGTATCCCCACTGAGGATTACTTTTTTCAACCCATTCAGATTGCGCATGATACCATTTAGCGCTTGTGACTCGACCATTTGAGACGCTTCTTCGATAATCAGGTATGAGGGCCGAAAGCCTCGGAGCGCCTTTCGACCAGCGGTTGATGCAGTGCATAAAACTATCTTTGCATTTTTCAGGTAGAGCTCTTGCAGGTTCAACCAGAGTCTCCTCTGCTCTCTGACAATTTTTGCGTTTGTCTGAGGAGGGGATTCATCCGCATAAGTTGATCTTGATACCGAAACAAGGGCGGTTGACTCTAGAAACAAGTCGCCCTGTCTTCTGAGAAGTTCTTGGGAGGTTATAAAGTCCCACAGGCAATCTCTTTCCTTAACAGAAATGTCACTAGCAGTTTTGTCTCTCGTGATCTGTTTGGGTTGGCCGCTTGCCATGACCATTTCCAATGCGTTGGTGATATGTGCTCCTAGTGAAAAATGGTGACCTGGATCCGTAATTCCCTCCATCGAGGAAATAACAATTTGCCGGAGTCCTGGATCAATGCCACGTTCTCGGAGATCTCTGTCGACCCTTTTGAACATTGGAGACGGTTCCCCTGGGTAATCATCGTCCTCATATTCATCATCATCTTCATCGCCTGCGTGTGAAGATGATCCTCGCGGCATTTGCATTTCGTGTGACTCACGGTAATCAGTCCCTAGTCTGTAAAATCCCGCCATAGAGATCTTCTTATCTTCCATATACCGAATGATGCGTTCCGTAATCACATCAAGGCCATGGTTGGAGGCGCAGACAATCAGGAGTGGCCACTTTCGCTCAAGGCAATGGGCGGCAATAGAGACAGACACAGAAGTTTTGCCAGTGCCGGGTGGACCTGTGACAAGAGAAAGAAAGTTCCACCATAAACTTCCATCGGAGAATGCGGATCGAATTGCATTGATCTGCTCCTCGTTCCGGGTTCTCTGGATGTTATTGATGAATTGACCCGTTTTTTGATCGATCGGGTCTCCATGCCGATGGAACTCGATCGTTGTATTGTCGTGGGCCAACAGCAGACGTTTCACTTTATTGTCCCTAGCAACAGCAAAATGGTCGTTTCCCCACATTGCATATCTGATTGCCCGGCGTGCTTGTACAATCGCTGGATTAGGAGAGCCAAAGGTTGCGAACCCTGCTAAATTCAGTCTTATCCCTATCGACTCCTGGATCGCTGGTCTTTTTAGCCGTACACAGATTGCATGATAAGAAGATTGGCGATCGATAATAGAAGATATCCCTTGTGAAGAGACAACAACGCCCTGCCAAAGCTTGATCTTGTTATCTTTGCGAGGTTCTTCACTGGCATTTGGCCTCTGTGGGGAAATGGTGACAGGTGTTCCAGGTTGCGGGAGGGGCATCGCTTGTTCTAACATCTCCTGCGCGTCTTCTCGATCTCGAAGTATAAACTTCGCATCGATAACTCCGTAGAAGTATTCATCGAGCCCCTTGCCTTTGATGTTATGAACATCAGACGCTCGGAAAAGCTCGAATTCGTAGAAATTGTTGAACTGCGTGATAGCCGTCTCTTTTTGAGCATCTGCTTCTCGGAGTAACCCAATCATCCGGATTGTCTCGTATTCTCTCTCATTAAGGAACACGCCAAACGGTGCATTTGTGTGAGTGAGTAGCTCAGGATTTTCCTGAAACCCACTGTCCGTCATATTTGGCCATCCGAACTTTCGACGTCGATGATGATGCTTTATAGTGGGGTCCGTAACTGGGGGGATCGCCTTCATCATTGTAAAGATTTTTGCCTGTTTAACATAACGACATGCGTAAAAAGGGTACGGGGCAATGTCGGCCGAGGCATAGCAGCCATACCACACCAGTTCTGTAGAATCTCATCACGTTGAATCCGCGTCACGACACGGATAGAGATGCTCTTTGCGCGCATATTCCGAAATCGCTGAAATGCGTGGATTTGGTCAGGTGAGAACAACCGTTCCAGTTGGGTGTCCGGTATTTCGAAACCCGAGACCATCTGCGGAAAAGTGTGAGAGGTCCATTGAATCTGGAAAGCTTCCGCGCCGTCCTTTCCATTGCATGCTTTTGCTGAGCTTTTATCAAGCTTAACCTTCTTGAGATTCACATCTGTCAATGATGCTGAAAAAGTGAATCTCTCTGCATCAGACGGGGTGAAGGTGGGGGTTCTTTCGGAATCAAAGTCATCGTCGTCCCAGGCAGTCCATATCATAGTGAATTCACGGTACAGCGTTTTGGAGTTTTGCACTTCTAGGCGAAGACGTAGACCGAAATGAGGAATCTCCGTTCCCCCTCCGATGAAAAAGGAGAGAAGAGCACGGGGCTCGGAATATACGGCGCAGGTTTGACCGTCTTGGAGACGCGTAGCTTTTGCACCGCACACAATTGTCGTATGAAACCGTTGGAAAAGATTCACGGTCAAAGTACCGGCTCTTTGTTTTCTCAAATCGGCTGGTCGCTTGCCTTTGTACTTGTCGTCATAACATGCAGTCGTTGCGTTATACCAGTTGAGCTCATCACTGCCTCGTGTCATGCGCTTCGAAATCTCTATCACATCATGGTCGCAACTGAATGGCTCGTCGGGCTCCTCCATGGTGTCAAAGTGGGGGACGTGATACCTGCACGAATAGAATGGATTAGAGCCGAAGAGAAGATTCAGTTGGAGGTTCCTTACCTGGCTTGAGGCTTGAGGTTCTCAGTTCTGCTGAGATAAAGCACCTGGCAAACTTTGCCTATCTAAATTTTGAGGGGAGTGTGTCTTCATGGGTTAGACCGGGGGAAATCATGGGCTCAGTTGTTGGTCACTCACCTGGCTCAAACTCGATGTTGTGAGGTGAGTGGACAGTAACAATGAGAATAGGGGGACCTGAATAAGTCAGTATCGAAGAAGAATGTCTTGACGGATGTCAAACGATGCGATCAAGTGAGAAGAAGTTGAAAGGCAGAGCGAGAGGAAGCTGGGAAGCAAAGTGATAGATGGCGATGGATGGGAAACATACCGGCTGAGGACTCATAGAAGACCGTGGAGTGATAGTCAAAGTACTGCGCAAGTTCTGGAAGACAGGAGACGAGAAGAAGGAAGATAGTTGAAGGAAGAAGAAGGATAATGAAGAAGGTCAGGGAGGTTTATATAGTATATGCTATTTGTTTGCCATACGTTATCTCATATACTTTATGTATATCCCACGGGGTTATGCATATCATCATTTCTAGCTTCTAGTATCGATAGATGGAGTGATAGCAGACATGGGCAGCTTTGCATTTATACATAGTAGTGCACTTCCTCTTCAAAAGGGATGGCGCCATCTGTTAGCTTCCAAGTGCAAAAGGTATTAAATCTAATGTTTAGTGGGGTGTACGGCAGGCAATAGGCGCCAATTGGACTACCGGCTTTTTATTGGTTTAGCATTTTTCCAAATTCACCGCCTACCTAGGTAGCTCTCCGCCTTCTGAGGTTCTAGGCAGCTCTCCCTCATCAAAATGGATTTACCCCTTTATTATATCAACATGCCTTTATACGTTGATCTACTACCTTTTCGAGATCGCATTATTGAACTCTCTGAAGATAGTGCATCCCCTAGTATTATCTGTAGTACTCTTAATCTTAATTGCTACCCTCGTACGATCTAGAGACGCTTAATTAAATAGGGTAAGAAACAGCCTGAAATTGTTACTACTACTAATGAAGCTCTATATACCCGTGTAAAGGAGCTTATGTTTTCTATTAGGCTTTTAGATAAATAGATACTACTAATTCTCTATAAAGAAGGCTTTACTCTTAGTAGCTATATACTCTCTAGAGTATAGAAATAGCTTAGTATTTACCGTCGTACGGACGCTCTAGAGGTACGATAGGAGTAGATAGAGTAGATTAAGGAGGTTATTACTAATAAAATTAATATTAGTGATATTAAAAGCTATAGAAAAGTCCTTCTCTATTATTATTTATACCGTTATAATTATTTATATTCTTTATAAGTAAGTCTATTTAATATATATATATATTATATATATAGAGTACTAATAGCCTTAAAGGACGTATATCTTTTAAGTATACTATAATTAGCGGCCTAATATCCTTATTAATCGTATATATAATATTTAATATATACGTAGTATATATATTAATCTAGGTCCTAACTTTATATAGTATATTAATAGCTATATAAAGTTAGTAAACTTTAGAATTAAGATCTATAGATTAATTAATAGCTACTTACGCTATATTTCTTAGATATATATTAGAATTAGCGCTTATATATAAGTTAGTATATACCGCTAATACCTTAATACTCTCTTAATTCGCTAATATATTCTATATATAATTCGCTTAGATCTTAGTACTAAGATTACTATATTAAGAGATATTTATTAGACTCTTCGCTAATTATATAATCCTAAGATTACCTATAATTAATACTACTAGCTTAGAAGAAGTATTAAAAACTAGAGAATTAAGACTTAGTAAGGCTAGCTTTTAAAATTAGTAATATATCTTTATTATAATTTCTTCTATAAGCTCTAGAGTAAAAACCTTTTTTCTTTAGCCTCTATTCCTAATTAAGTTATATTACTTATAATCTATATACTAATCGTACGATAAAAGGTTATATTATATATTAAAATATAGAATATCTATTATATCCGTAAATAACCTCGCCGGCCTTAGAGTATATATAGGAAACTATATATAAACTATTTCTATCTACTAGATAATATATATAACTATAGTTTATATATTAACCTAGTCTTTCTTTTATTACTCTATAATCTAGTAAAAGAATAGGATCCTAATAAATATCTACTATTTAATATATAGATATAGTATCGTACGTAGCTAGCGGAGATTAGATTTAATCCTTATAACCCTATACCTTATATACTATAGGAACGTTCTTAATCTTATCGTACGGTCTATAAAGAGCTACGCTAGCGAGCTATTTAGTATAAGAACTTTAGTACGCTTCTAAAACTATTATTATATAATAAGCCTACTAATCCGAGATATTAGATACCCTTATTTAGCGAGAATAGAAGTAGTTAAAATTAAGATTTATATTTATAAAGTAATTATATATTCTTTCTATCCTCCTTTCTTATCTTCTAAATTATCCTTTTATATAATTATAATAATAGGCGACTCTATTAATTCTAATACTACTAAGGTTTAGGATCTTACTAGTACCTCTTTAACTCCCTAAGTATAGTTAATCCCGATTACTAAGCTTTAGTCTTTATTTCTCTTATCCCGCCTATTCTATATAATACTATCCTTTAGTACTACTATTATATACTATATAACGCGTATTAAGGAAGAGAGAGGAGATTATTAATCCTAGCGTTCTATTATTCTAGAATCCTCTAAAAAGAGGATAGCTATAAAATCTAAGTAAATTACTATATTATCTAGTTAGTATAAGATCTCTATATAGGTATACTTTAAGCTTTAGTAAAATTTAAAGAAGCGTAAGGTCTTTTAATTTATTAGTAATTATCTATATCTAGGCGACCTTTTAGAAATATCTAACTAATATCGTATAATATAGGGTAATAGATATCGGATATTACTATTTATACGATCTCGGACTTTAATAATTTTATTAAAAAAAACCTCCTCCTTTTAATACCTCTAAACTAGCTAAAATATAATATTAAGACTAGCCGTAAAAAGGACTAATTCTTTCTTATCTTAGATATTAAAGATAAAACGCCTACTTTTCTATTAAATTAGTAGAACTATAGATAATATAGTAAGGATTTAATCCTTACTCGCTTTAATAAGGTCTCTTAGCTAGGTAGTAGGAAAGTGTCTTTAATTTATATCTTAATTAAGGAAAGAAAAGAGAATAAAAAAGAGTAGGAATAGCCTCCGCTAGATCGTACGATAGCTACGCTAGAGCTAAAAATTAAATAAGAGCCTCCTAGTGATACCGAGAAGAAGTAAGTATAGCCTCTACTAGATCGTACGATAGCTACGCTAGAGCTAAAAGTTAAATAAGAGTCTCTTAGTGATACTAAGAAAGAGCGTCTTAACTAGGAAACTTAGGAAAAGGATTATTTACCGGATACTTTACCTAATATCTATAACCCTTTCTTTATAATAACCCCTAGCCGATATACTCGGGAGAGTAAGGCTCGTGTTATATAATAGGAAGAAGCTAAGTAACCGGAGTAAGCTAAGTAGCTAAAGGCCTAATCTTAAAAGCGCTATAATATATTAGCCTAGCCTATCTTAATACTACCTATTTATTATATAAAGACTTACTTATAGAGACTTTAAGAGTAGATAAATTAATTTATAGGAGTTTATAGTTTAATACTATAGGTTCTATTAATACTTTATATTAATACTTTATATTAATACTTTATATTAATACTCTAATATAATATTTTCTAGTAAAAAAAATATAAAAAAAAGGTTTAATACCGCTTAATTTATATCTCGTACGACTTACTTAGTTTTACTATAAAGGCTAATTATCCTAAGTACTATATAAAGATATAAGTCTTACTTAGGTACCGTATATAGACCCTATATAGCTAGAGGGGTAGGAAAGAAAAGAATATCTATAATATAGAAGTATAGTATACTAAAGAAATCGTATAAACCTATCTAATTAAGAATAATAGGATCGTCTTAACTACTATCTTTATAAAGAGTAATAGGATTATTACTATTACTACTTTCTATAATTAAGAAAGAGTAGGCTCGCGATATACCGGGTAATATAATATACTTAAACAATATATTAGGTATAGGATTAGGCTAACTTCTTAGTCTATTTTATTTTCCTCGATAATCTTATATAGTATACTAACTTATATAGTCCCTCTATTTATAATTACTATATAAACCTCCGAAGTAGCCTAATATATAGATATATAATAGGAATAGGGTTATAATTCCTATACGATTACACTAATCCTAATATTAATCGTATTTAGTAATAACCGGCTATCTATAAGATTAAATTAAGAGAGTATTTATATATAAGAGTCGTATACTTATAATCTAATAGTCTTTAATACGATTACGTATAAAAAAGATATTATAACCTATAAGGGTTAGTAAGACACGTCTTTTATCGCTATATACGAAACGCTAGAAAAAAGGGCTTCCTACTAGGAAAGGGCGCTAAGAAATACCTCTACTAGCTTACTAGGTATTAAAAGACTATATAAGAGATTAAGTCTCTCTAGAATCTAAACTAGGGCGTAGACTAGTAGTAATCGGCTACCTAAACTTAGCTCTACTTAATATATAGCCTTTATAATACTTAATTACCTATTATATTATAAGTACCTAACTACCCGTAAGATTAGGACTACTATTAATAAACCCCTAAAGCTCGTCGTACGTAGCTTATATTATATATATATAAGCCTAGGACTAAGTAAAATCGGCGGTAGAGGAGGGGTTAAATTAGCGGCGGGGGCGCGGGGCGTAGAGAAAGCCGAACTATATAGTAAAAGTATAATTAGTAATAGATCTAATATATTATAGCGCTTACCCGCTATACAAAGAAAGTATTTTAATAATAATAATTAAAAAAACTTAGGATATAGAAGATAGAGGAGAAAGAAAGGAGGAGAAAGAAAGAAAAGAGGAGATAGAAACTAGGGCTATAGACTAGTTTTAAATTAGTGAGGGCACTTCTAGATTAGGAGATATTAATACCTAATCTCTAAGGTATCAACCACTTTTAAAAGGAATATCATTAAACTATAAGATTCTCAATAGATGAATTGAGCTTCATTAATAAGATTCTTAATAGATATAGGGCTACTCAATAAATCAGGTCATTTAATAAGGCTCTTAATATATTAATTAAGATTTACATATCAATAATATTATAGACATTGTACGAACCTTAGAATTCCATTTATTCTGCCAGGCAGAATGCCAAAATGCTAAACCAATAAAAAGCCGGTAGTCCAATTGGCGCCTATTGCCTACCGTAGGGGTGCACCAACACCAGGTATGTATGTTAGGTGCTTGGCACGATTATTGTAGCAAAGATTGTTTATTGTGTCATTGTTTGAAAAAGCTAAGATAGCTAACAGAGGTAAGAATAACTTATAGACCTTGCTCCTTCCAGACGTCGCTTGAGATATCTGCCAACTGATCAGGTGAGATCTCAATGTTATGCTCGGGCGGGACTAGTTGGCGACAAAACAATTCTTCAAACCCAATGGTCAAAGGTACTGCTGGCCTGATAGTAATCTGTGAGTTGGATTTATTTGCGTCGCGGGATGTTGTAATGGACTGCCGTATAGTTAGGACGTAGCGGGGCCGCTGGGATCGTAAGGAGCTGACCACTGTGTCCAAAAAAATAGTCTCAAACTTGATATCGGGTGCCTTTCGATTGACAGACACAATGATTACAAGCTTCACATCGCCCTTCGAGTTCGTGAACCACCATTCTGCATCTGCCTTCAACTTTTGATAGGACTCAGAGACTCCAACTTCGACCACAACGGTCGGCCATTTTGCATCGCGACCTGGAATAGGTTGCGTAGGGACCCACGACTCGTCGGCCTCCTTTGAAGAAGACATACCTCGGACGCGTTTAGACCCTACCGGGCGAATCGACCGACCCAGTCCCATATCGCGTACCACATCTCGCACTTCACAAAGTAGGCCGCGTGAAGCTGTGTCATGGGCCCCAGTCACGAGCTTTATTATCATAGATCGAGTGTCGTAGCTGAACATATGTCGAGCGGAGCTCGAAGAAAACTCTTCCGCAATAGTTGGTGGGACGTTTGTGAAACGCAGGTATTTTATCACCTTGATGGGAAGGTTCTGCTGCTCTCTAATGATATTCCGGATAGCGCGGGCCTCCGACCCGATGGCTTCATATGTGTCATCGGGTAGTTCTTGGAAGCACTTGACGTCGGGGGAGTCCGTGTCATCGGACATATCTGAATGTCGCGACATGGTGGTCAACATGGGCGTTTCCGAAATGGTATCGAAGTGAACAGAAAGTGCTGACTTTTTTTGGCGTCCGAAACTATATAGTCTTAGTAAGTATTGGATACGGTTTGTAGTAATGAGTCATCCTTACCTTATCAATCGGATGAAGGTTAAAGGTGATCGGCACACTGTGCCAGTTGGAAAGACGATGGCAATGGTGCTTGTTCGTCGATTAGAATGATCGGCACACTATACTAGTAGTGATGGCAATAGTGATTATTCTCGTCGACGACGAAGAGAAGGAGAATAGTCGATAAGGATGATCGGCCTACTATGCCAGTTGGTAAGACGATGGTAAAGGTGCTTATTCGTCGATTAGAATAATCGGTATACTATACTAGTAGTGATAGTAATAGTAATTAGTCTTATCGACGACGAAGAGAAGGAGAATAGTCGATAAGGATGATCGGTACACTATACCAGTTAGTAAGACGATAGTAAAGGTACTTGTTCGTCGATTAGAATGATCGGCACACTATGCTAGTGGTAATGGCAATAGTGATTGGTCTTAGACCTCCGTAATAGGCCTGGTTAGGCCCGGACCTCAGGCCCATAGCCCAACTAGCAGTGGGCTATAGGCCCTACCTTCGAAGCCTAACCAAGCCTATAGCCCATTATGGGGGCCTATAAGGCCCCTATTAAAGCCTATTTGTATATATAAATATAGTCTTAGCGCTTATAAGCCTACTGATTAATGTCTGTTCTTTATATATATTTAAGTCTATATACTTACCGCGGAAGATCTCGGCGCCGGCCCTGATCTAGCCTAATACGGGGGTTCAACAGTTAACAGAGAATCAATGTGCAAATATATATATTTCACATAGAGAGAAGTTAGTGTATCTTTCTATTAATTTATATTTTTCTCAAATTTCAAAAATCTTAATTTTATTAATTTAGTTAATTCAGTCAATTCAGTCAATTTAGGGGGTAATCTGAATACCTAGAAATACTAGAAAAATCTGCATTACTTATGTATCTGCCAAGCATTAGCATGTTTGTATTATTTGAAGCCCATTGGGCCCCCATAAAAGCCTAGTGGGCTTCTACCCTAGGCCCATAGCCACCGATGGGCCTAGGGACCGGGCCTAAAGCCTAGCCCATTTGCGGGTTGGGGCGGGTTGGGCTTTGGGCTTTGCGGGCTGGTGCGGAGGTCTAATTGGTCTTGTCGACGACGAAGAGAAGGAGAACAGTCGATGAGGATAATCGGCACACTGTGCCAGTTAGTAAGACGATAGCAAAGGTGCTTGTTCGTCGATTAGAATGATCGGCACACTATACTAGTGGTGATGGTAATAGTGATTGGTCTTATCGACGACGAAGAGAAGGAGAACAGTCGATAAGGATGATCGGTATACTATACCAGTTAGTAAGACGATGGCAAAGGTGCTTGTTCGTCGATTAGAATAATCGGCATACTATGCTAGTAGTAATAGTAATAGTGATTGGTCTTATCGACGACGAAGAGAAGGAGAATAGTCGATAAGGATAATCGGCACACTATACTAGTTGGTAAGACGATGGTAAAGGTGCTTATTCGTCGATTAGAATGATCGGTATACTATACTAGTGGTGATGGTAATAGTGATTGGTCTTATCGACGACGAAGAGAAGGAGAATAGTCGATAAGGATGATCGGCACACTATGCCAGTTGGTAAGACGATGGTAAAGGTGCTTGTTCGTCGATTAGAATGATCAGCACACTGTGCCAGTGGTGATGGCAATAGTGATTGTTCTCGTCGACGATGAAGAGAAGGAGAAAGAAGAAAGAAGAGAGAGGGGATGGGCGTAGAGAAAATAATGGAAAGGGAGGTCAGAGATGTCAGATGAGGAAGGTGTTAAGGTGACATCTCCTACCTACTGAAATAAGGAAGGAGTAGGGGGACTTTAGGAAAAGCCACTTTAAAGTGATGCTACTCTTTAGGTATTATAACCTGATTCATTTAGCTTAAGATGGTATAAGGGCATGATGGTAATGGCCGCCACTAGGCCACTACTAGACCTCCGCACCAGCCCGCAAAGCCCAAAGCCCAACCCGCCCCAACCCGCAAATGGGCTAGGCTTTGGGCCCGGTCCCTGGGCCTATCGGTGGCTATAGGCCTAGGGTAGAAGCCCACTAGGCTTTTATGGGGGCCTAATAGGCTTTAAATAATATAAATATGCTAATGCTTGGTAGATACATAAGTAATATAGATTTTTCTAGTATTTCTAGGTATTTAGATTACCCCCTAAATTAACTATAGGTGCCTGAATTGACTGAATTGACTGAATTGACTGAATTGACTGAATTGACTGAATTGACTGAATTAACTAAATTAACTGAATTGACTAAATTGACTGAATTAACTGAATTGACTAAATTAACTAAATTGACTGAATTGACTGAATTGACTGAATTGACTGAATTGACTGAATTGACTGAATTAACTGAATTGACTAAATTAATAAAATTAAGATTTATGAAATTTGAGAAAAATGTAAATTAATAGAAAGATACACTAACTTCTCTTTATATGAAATATATATATTTATATATTGATTCTCTGTTAACTGTTAAACCCCCGTATTAGGCTAGATTAGGGCCGGCGCCGAGATCTTCCGCGGTAAGCATATAGACTTAAATATGTGTAAAGAATAGACATTAATTAGTAGGTTTATAAGCGCTAAGACTATATTTATATATATAAATGGGCTTTAATGGGGGCCTTATGGGCCCCTATAATGGGCTATAGGCTTGGTTGGGCTTCGAAGGTAGGGCCCATAGCCCACTGCTGGTTGGGCTATGGGCCTGAGGTCCGGGCCTAACCAGGCCCATTGCGGAGGTCTAGCCACTACCTCGCCCTCATTTACCTTAAACCAATGATTAGAAAAACTCCCCTAAGCAAACCAAAAGTATAAGGTGATCGAGTTCTGAGAGAATCAGAAGTAAAAAAATGATCGCATTCTAAGACGATTGAAAGCAACAAGAGAAAGACATTCAGCTTCTCAAGAAACAACTCATAGCCTCTTTTTAAGACGAACCGGGGCGCTAGGCCGACGGGGCTCCCACGGCTCCTATATTAACCAAACTAGTTAGTGATTAAACCTCTTGAAGATCTTTTTATGAAGTGGAGTACGAGTCGGTAGTCTCATCCCGAGACTTGTGCACGTCACCCCTAACGCAAATGTTATTATTTCGGCTATTCACCCGGATACCCGCGAGAGCGCGAATATTGATGGGCCTGAGGTATCCTATGTCATCGTTGGGGGCATTTGCGCGGTTCAACGTAGTGATTATGACGGCTGCGATGGAGCTCAGACGAGGTGATACCTAGGCATCCTAGCGAGTTGGATCGGTGGAAGAGTCCACTCTAAGAGACGACACCATGATAGTGCTTTCGTCACCAGTTATGGTGATGGAGTTATCGATGTAAGTATTGATTGGGGAATCCCACGGGTCGTGTATGTCGTTCTGATCGACGCTTATGACAGTTGTATCGCTGTGTCTGGTGATAGACAATGTGTATGGGAGTGGAGCTGTGGCTGGAGTGGAAGTAGAGATAGGTTCAGAAGTAGATGTAGAAGAAGGATTGAGGTTTGCCCGCACTTGAGCGAGTTTATGTAGGTGGTGTCGCAAAATCCTCTTGGTCAACACCCTTGCTATCAAAGCCGCGGGAAGCGCGGTCAGTGGTGTCGGTGACTGTCTCCTTGACCTTGTCCCGAGTGTACTTGGTGGAGTCAGGAGTGAGCTCCTACTAGGCCTCTGTAGGAAGAAGTGGTCAGTACCTACAACTTGATAGGCAAATAAAGCAGTGTCACATACTGGTGGAGAAATCCTTGTGGCCGCAATCAGACGTTATTAATATTGATAGGATTTTGGTAGTTGGAGATAGAAGTAAATTGTATAATATAGTTTGGTTGAAGTATGAGATGTTGAAGGAAGAACTGCTGAAGAGGCAAAGATGGGGGGTTTAAATGAGCGCGAATCCAAATTATAGGGGAGACTAAACCCAGAGGGCTTCAATCTTGTGAAGAGCGTAGTCAGAAGACTTTGAGCCACTACAGTCGCTGGGCTGTTGCGGCCGTCAGTCAATGGACCTAGAGCTGTGGGCGTACGTCCAGCTTGGACTCAAATCCACAGCCCGAAGTACTTGGCCACAGATCGGGTGCTCTGGGCCCTTGGCTATGGAACCATAGCCCTCCCACCATAACTCATCGGTATTGGACGTGCGTCAGTCGACTACTGGTCCCTAAACCGCAGTCACTGTTCCCAAAGCTATGCGCCAGCTGGGCTCAGTATCCATCAACTGGCGATTTGGTTGGATTACTAAACTTGATGGCCTGGTATCGAGTACTGATATGTTATCTTAAATACACCCAGCCAAAGAAGCTACTCGGCCACCTATTTTACCCCGAGTTACTTTAAGTTCCTGCCCGAGGTTCATAGATATTGTCGCCCTACCTCTCTATCTCGGGTCTAGCCCTAACGGACCTGATCCAGTATACTTTCAAAACACACCTGGCGCTCCCTAATCTTAAAATTTGTGGTTTCTTTATTCTCAATTTGTTGATTACCACTATCCCGAAATCCACGGCCTCCTCAACGACTTCTTAGTAAATACAGTGAAAGAACTGCTCGGTTAGTTGCCTAGGACAAGCCCCGAGCCATAACTATCCACTTTTCTGCCATATTCCCCAGGCCTCCAACCCATGTCGGAGCAGAGCACTAGGGCTAAGCCCCACTTTTTGTATTTAACCCAGTTTTTACCCAGTAATAGAAACCACCGTTTTTGACCCTTCGCGTTGACAGTTATGAGCCCGGTTCGCAAATTCTAACCCCCCCCCCCGACGATGGAGATAGAGTCAGCGGTCGCCTTAGGAAGGCTTACATCCTATGAGCAGTGGAAACCATGGTTATTACAGATCAAGGCAATAGCCCTCGAGGCAGAAATTTGGTAATAGATCAATCTAGATCTCCTAGTTAAACCCGAGAGACCCCTACTACCTATAAAACCTATACCTTCCGGGATCCGACGAGATACATAATCGATCGACGACCTTACCGATTAAGAGGTCGCTCGTCTTCGTGATCTTCGAGGGATCTACTAATACGAAAAGGCAGAATACGATATATAGAATAAGGTACGACGAATGATTATAGGGATAATTATAACCACGATAGACCCGAAATTTAAAATATACCTTCTCGGCTAGCTTACCCTATACTAATAACTCTATACCCTCTCCGAGATATTCTAAGCGTCCGACTAAACCTATATCTAGACGTTACGGTGAAAGTAGCGAAGCCTTATCGAAGTTAAGGTTACCTACGATACCGCCGAAAAGTAGCTTCTTAACGTCTACTAATAATATATTAAGGGTAACGCCGCCGGCGTTCCGGAAATTTAGTATTAAAAAAGTATAATTTTCGATCTCCTCGAGTATCTTAAATATATCGTACCCGGCTTTTATAATATCTAGTATTACGAGGTTTTTAATAAGTTATAGAAAATTAAAGTCCCCCGGTTAATCCGGATCTTCTAAGGATAACGAGAATTCTAGTCTACTTAATCGGGGTACCTACTCGAAGTCACACTAGGGGCTTTCTTAACTTAGTAAGGATATCTAGAGGCGAAATCTAACTCGAAATTAGAACCTTATCGATATATATATAGTAAGCTACACCCTTTCTAGCGGTGTTTCTACCTTAACCCGATCTTACGACTATTAAATTTCGAGCTATACGAGCCGACTATCTCTCGTATTCGAGAAAAACTTATAGATAAGGCCACCCTTACTAAGATTAAGAAAGTGCTTCTAGGATTTAAGGGTTTAGAAGGGGAAATTCCCTAGGAAGCTCCCTAGCAAGCATACTTAGTATGGTCCTTAGAGCCTATAACTAGCTTCTAGTTTCTAGTTTCTAGCTATATATAGTTTCCTACCTTATATCGTTAAATAATAATATACTATAATAGTAAATAAGGACACTATATAGGTTAGTATATAGATTAAATATGACGATCGTGGATAGGAAACTGAGTCACGTGACTATAGCTATCGCAGAGTAGGTCCGAGGTTTATGAAGTTTATAACTTAAAGACTCTCTAAAACTCGGTGATAGTAAGTTTCCTTTTCCTCTTTTCCTTTCTTTCTCTATCTTAGTATTTTCGTTAAATTACACTCTTTCTTTAAAGATCTAGCTTATAATATAATACTAAGACCACTCTTTAATTTCTTAAGATAGTATAGCTATACGGATTATTATTATAATTAATCCTAGCTCCGCCTTATCCCTACTTTCTGCCTCTTAGTACTAACCTTTAATCCCGATTAGATCCCGAACCCCGACTAAAAACTAGACCTACTTATTAAGATAGTAGGTACCCGACGAACTAAAGATCGTAGTAAGTAGCGAGCTACTATAAATAACTCTAATAAAAAACCTAAGGAGGAGAATATTCCTTAACTAATAACCCTAATTAATAATACGATCTAACTTAAAGATACTAAAGAAGAGAAAGGCGATATTAGAGAAGGTTTCTTTATATATATATATCTATAAAGGACTCCTACTAAGGATCGCTTTATAGAACTAGTAAGGGTATATAAATAATTTAAAGAGAAAGTTTCTTTCCTCTAAGTTAATAAGATTAACTTAGAGCTCTACTTAGAATAAATAGTATAAGAATAAGATAAAATTATTATTTATAAAGATCTCGCTATCTATAAATAAGAAGACTTTACTTTTTATTTTATTAATATATAGTAAAGTATACTAACTATAAAGATTTCTATTTATAAGACTATTAAAATATCTAACGCTCTAATATTTAGTAATAGAAAAAAAGTCTAATTTAAGACTTAGAAAACTATTATTTATTAGAAACTAAAAGCTAATATAGATTATTATCTCTTATCTATCTACTATAAACTCGCTATAGATCTTTTAAGTATAAGATAATACTATTTAGGTTAACTAACGGATTTATAACTTTCTAGAGGTTTATAAATAACGTACTATATAAATATTTAGATAAATATACTATAGTATTCGTTAATAATATTCTAATCTATAGCGAGAACCTTAAGAACTACCGGAAGTATATATAGGAGGTATTAAATCGCCTATAAAAGATAGGACTTTAAGTAGTACTATATAAGTATAAGTTTAGAGTCTAGGAAACTAAGTTCTTAGGCTTTATTATTAGTACTAAAAGAATTAAAGTTAACCTAGAAAAGATTAGTATTATAAAAGACTAGAAAATCCCTACTACTATTAAAGGAGTTTAGTCTTTTCTTAGTTTCTCTAATTTTTACTAAAGGTTTATTCTAAAATATAGTAAGATTATAAAGCCTCTTTACTATCTAACTAGATAAGATACTTAGTTTAAATAGATACCGCTATATAAAAAAGCTTTTAATAAACTAAAAGAGCTACTAATAATAGCTTTAATTTTATAGTATTATAATCTAGCGTTATCTACCTAAATTAAGACTAATACCTCTAACGGTATCCTTAGAGGCGTCTTAATATAATATTATAAAAATAATTTTTAGTATTCTATTACTTTCTTCTCGAAATTAATATAGTCCGTAGAATTTAACTATAAAGTATATAATAAGAAATTACTTATAATTATATAAACCTTATAGGAGGAGCGTATAGAGTTAGAAGATCTTACTTAAGAGGATTATTTTAGAATTTTTATAGACTATTAGTCCCTAGAGTATTTTATAATAATAAGATATCTAAATTAACGATAGATTCGATAGAGTAAATTCCTCTCTTAATTCTATTTCGTAATTAAATATCATCCTAGGAAGCGAAATATTATCGCTAACGCCCTCTTAAAGAAGGATATACTATATAAGGATAGGAGTAAGTTTATTACTTTACTTCCTTATAATTATCTTAAGAAAGGTATCTACCCTACCTTATTAACGCTAATATAGATAACTATAGAAGAGATCGTTAACTATATAAAATAAGTAAACTATATAGATATAGGTCTCGAAAAGTTAAGATAAAAGGTATAAAAAAAAAGGATCTTTACTAGTAGTTAGAGGAAAGACTTTTACTATTTAATAATAAGTTAGAAGTACCTAATTAAAAGGATCTATATATTTAGTTATTAGATAAAGTCTATTATTAGTCTCTAGTCGCCTATTTAGGCGTTAAAAAGATAAAGAAGCTAGTCTCTATTTATTATTATTAGCTTAGATAGGCTAATAATATATAATAATATATAGATAACTATTTAGTATATAAAAGAATAAAGTTATAAAAAGATAAAATATTTAGATTTCTCTATCCTTTACCTATCCCTAATCGACTCTAGTAATATATTTCGATAGATTTTAGATTATTTCTAAAAGATCGATATAACTTTAATATAATATTCGTAATTATAGACTATCTAAGTAAGCGACTAATCTTAATTCTTTATTATAAAGATATAAATATATAATAGATAGCCCGACTCTTTATAAACTACGTTATTTATATTTTAGGAATACCGGAGACTATTATATTAGATTAAGATAGATAGTTTATCTCTAAGTTCTAGATAGAGTTCTATCGAATACTAGAAATTAAGAGAAAACTATTAACTATATACTATCCTTAAACTAATAGCTAGAGTAAGATTATAAATTAATATATAGCTTAATATCTTTATCTATATATAAAACTAAATTAAGATAATTAGTTAAAGATTTTACCTATAATTAACTTTATAGTATCTATTCTACTATAAGATACTACTAAGAAATCTCCTTTCTTTATAGAGAGAGAGTATAAGCCTATAATAACCTTTAACTAGAAAGATCCTAAGTATATCTCCGCTAATAAACGAAGTATAGTAAATATACTCTTATAACTATAAGATATATAGTCCGAGATAAAGGAGTAGATTAATAAGTCCTAGAAACTCTAGATCTAATAAGTAAATAAATATCGTTAGGAAAAGGATTTTAGGGTAGGAGATTAAGTTTTTATTATAATAAAGGATTAGTTACCTAATAAACTAAGTCGGAAGTTATCTTACTCTATAAGTAGACTATATATAATTATAGAGAAGGTTAGGAATTTATATAAGTTAGATCTCCCGAGATCGATAAAGATATACCCTATTTTCTATCCTAGTAAACTATATAAAGCGTTAAAAACTAAGCTACTATAAAGATAATATAAAGATCTAATACTACTTATTATAATAAATAAAACTAATAAATAGAAAGTTAGTAAGATTTTAGATACTTATACGTATTATAAGAAGCTTTAGTACTAGGTAGAGTAGGTAGGATATAATATAGATCTATAGTAGTATCTAGTAGGTAATCTAAAAAACGTACTAAAAAAGGTTAAGGAATTCTATAAAAAATATCCTATAAAGCCCGGACCCCTAGTACGTCTATATTACTAGATTAAAGCTATAGAAGGCGAGAAGTTATTATAGGATTATAAAGATAATAATAAGCTAGTATTTAGAGACTAAATATAATTTAGATAGGGGAGTATATAATAATCGTAGATAGGAAACTAAATTACGTAACTATAACTATCGTAGAGTAGGTCTAAGGTTTATAAAGTTTATAACTTAAAGACTCTCTAAAACTTAGCGATAGTAAGTTTCCTTTTCCTCTTTTCCTTTCTTTCTCTATCTTAGTATTTTTCGTTAAATTACACTCTTTTATTAAAGATCTAGCTCGTAATACTAAGAATAGTATAATATATATCGAAGATTATTTTAAAAAGCTTTAATTCTATATTAAAAGAAGTTTCTCTCTACTAATTAAGAAATAAGGAGCTTATAGCTTATTACTTATTTAAGTATAAAGCTAGATAAGATATTAGATAAAGATAAAGTACCCCCTTAGGTAGTCTTAGATAAAATAACCTAATATCTTAATAATAGTAAGTCTAAACCCTACTTATATACTAAAAATTTACTTATCTAAATAAATATTATCTATACTAATTTACTTATATTCTAAAGAGAAAACTATACTTATTTTCTAATAATTACCGCTCTTACTTATAATATACTCTTTTTTTAGTAACTAATATAAATATTAAATATCTATTTAATACCGTTTAGGATATTTATTATTACCGCTATAATAGAATAAAGTCCTATACTATTAAAGATCTAATAATATTCCTTTATATAACTAGATTTAATATAGAAGAGTAGGAACTAAGACTTTTAGAGAAGTTCTTTTCTTAAGAAGAAATTAAGGTTATAAAGAAAGAGAGAGAGGAAAAGCTTAAGATTATTAAGATTAAACTAATTAATAATATAGAGAAGTAAAAGAATAGTATCTAAGAGGATAATACCCCTTTAATTAATATTAATATTAATTCTAGGCCTAATTTACTAGTACCTTTTAAAGCGACCTAGATATAGAGCTTAGGAAGAAAGTAGAAAAATCGAGAGGATAATAATTATATATATTCGAATTAGATATTAATTATTAGTATACTATTTATCTATTAGTATTATAATATTAATATTCCTAGACTTACTAAAAAATAATTCTATATAAAAAATAATTATACCTATTAAGGATTATAAAGTAAATACTTAAATATATAGGGAAAATCTATATAAGTTATAAATCCTATAATTTAAGGTATTTATATTATTTATAACCTAACTTAGGGCCCTAACGACCTAGTCGGGTCGAAGGCTATAACCTAGACCTAACCCCGGTACGAAGGTATAGCCCTAAAACCTAACCTAAGTTAGGTTAGGTCTAGGTTAGGTTAGGTTTTTTCTAGGTTCTACAGAAGTCTACTAATAAGTAGGATACCTTAAGACTATCTACCTACTACCGGAGCTCTTATACTTACTTAGAGCACTTAGTAAGAGATTGCTCCTTCTATTTAACTAATATATAAAGTGAGTTAACTTAATTAAGAGCTTCTTTTTACTTCGCCTTTTCGCTCTTATTAGCTATAAATATCTCCTTAACGGTAACTCACTTTCTCTTCTTTAGATCGAGGATTTTATTTTAGGCTTTCTTTAGCTCTTTATTTCTAATATAGACTTATTTACGCTAATAACCGAATTCTTTTATTATAACCGACGTAGCTTAGGACTTAGGGCTTAAAGCTAGTGCACTAACTTACTTAAGAAAGCTCTAAAGGCTATCGCTATTAAATATCGAAGGTGCGATATACTAGCTTACGCTTAAATAGCTTTAGATACTAGAAGAAGATATAATTAAAAGACTTTATTAGGCTATAAATATTCTTAGGTTTACTAATATATAAAACGAATTTTTAGTCCGATAGGAGAGTCTAACGTATTTATAAGTATCTAAAAGAGCTATAAAAAAATACTATATAGCTATTTTATAGACTATTAGGTTATATCTAGAGATTACGATTAAGCACTATATATAAATAAATACTCTATAAATATATAAGAGGAGCTTTATAAGCCCTATAATTATAAGCGTAGTAGAAGTAATACTAGTTTATATATACGAAAATAGGGCTAAAATATAATATATTTTTAACCCTATAGGCTTAATATATACGAGTAATTACGCGTATATTTCTTATATCTATATATAGCTACGTATAGCCCGGAATATAGTCGCCTTATTAGAGTAAGTCCGATTCTACTATAAGCTAGGATAGTTAGAGTAAGTATAGAGTAAAGATTTATAGTACTAGTATAACTTAGGAGAAATAAGTTTAATATTTCCCGTTCTCGCCCGAAAACTCGGAATAGAGCGGAGGTGTTAGTAAGTAGGTTAAAATAATTTTTAGCTAGTAAGCTAGGGACGTAAATAGATTATAAAATATACGGATCTACACTTTAGGTAGAGAAGGGGCCCTTAGTTTATTACTATACTTTAACTACTATTTTGTACGCCCTTTTAACTAGTAGGCAAACTTATAGCTAGTTATTAAATTATAAGTTACTTAGAAATACGAGATAGAAAGAAAGTTCTTAGAGAAAAAAAAAAATTAATTCGTTTATATCCTATTTAAATTATATAATGCTTGACCCGGACTTAGATTCCGAGTAGATAACTATACGTAAATTCTTAGGCTAATAGATATAGTCTAAAAAAACCTAAACGGTTACGTAAATAATATTATAATATACGATAATATAATTCGGATAACTTACTTAATCGAATATAGTAAGTATAAGGCCTATAGTAGTGAGAAGTTTAGGCTAATAGTAAGCAAACTTACGGCTGTTAATTAAATAATCGGTGGTCTTAGGAAAAATGAAATAATTCTTTTCCTTTTAAATAACTAAAGTGTTTATTGAATATCATTACGTAGATAGTAGTCTCTACTCTAAATTAGCGCATTTTTCCTAATACCTAGGCAACCCCTAAGTCTAGAGTAAAAAATTAATTTCACCTAGGTTAGATATCCTGTGTAAGCTATACCTATTTCTGCTATATTTTCTAGGCCGTATATACCTTGTTGATTCATAATAGTTCTCGAACCTTCACGAAAACTTCTTATTTATTTACGTATAGTATAGGCTTTTCCATACTGTACCTCTAGAAGTCACTTTGTCTAAACCATGCTCGAATTACGCACGCTATAAGCTGACTACATAGGCTATCTACTTTCCCCTATCCTTAGGCCTAACTACGAGTAGTTAGTCGTAAATGACTTACATAAGAATATACCGCGAACTCTTTAGTACAGTATGGAGATTTTACTTCGGAACTACAAGTCATCGTGCTTTACCCTCGGGGCCTCACTAATTTCCAGTCTATTGATATAATGGCTGTTCCAATTCGCATACGGAAAATATTGCATACAAGATGTTGATTGCAAATGTTGTGGTCTGGTGTAAGTTCCCCTTTGGTCGTACAACTTCATTTATGTTGTTTCGGTGTATCTCTATCGAGCTCCTCCAGACCCTGGTCTGTTACGAGCATTGGGGATGGATAGTAGGAATTCTTGAAAGGTCAGTTGTCTTTTTATCAAAGGCATAGTTGGAAACATACCAGTTGCGAGCTAAGGAATGCCCAAAATCCCGAAGTATCCGCTGATAGGATAAATACTTGGCCGGTTTCCCGAAGGCGTATGCCCACACAGACGTCTGCATCGCACATCTTGCTATATTCGGACGCTTTTTTCATTAAGCTTGATTTGCGACGACCTCGCTTTTGGCGCATGGACTTTTTGACAGATTGAGATCGATTAGAATGGGTGGGAGGTGCGGAAGCCATGCTAAGAGATTCCGCAAAACGCCGCTATTGGGAATGGCTGAGGAGATCAGGGAACTAAATATATAGATTAAGTAGTTCTCAGGGATTCTGAAAACCTTTGAATGGCTACAGTGTTGAAGCGTTGAAAACCCGTGTCACTCTCCAGAAACCGTGGTCTTCAGAGTCATGGCCCACGAAGACCTGAAACTGTCCCTGGTGAGTTTAATGCCACGGCCAAATTGATGCCTGCCGCACCAAAAAGCGGTTGGTCCCCCCAAAGGCCGAGGAGCTGGTCAATAATATCATAGAAGATCAATAATATTATAGTAACGCATCAAGCTGAGGCCTAGTTATACATATTAGAATTTCGTTTTCGACAACTAGATATGTAACCTATGTGTAAACATGGGAAGAACTGTTCAACTTCAGAGCAACCTTTTTTTTTTTTTTTTTTCAAAAGAAAGTAGATTCTTTTTTTGTGTTTATTCAATTTCACAATTGGCATATCTCAAATTCAGAAGAAGAGTTAATTCATCTCCCGTACATATGTACTCGAATTCCTGAGTCAACTAATCTTTTAATCACCAGCCGTAAGTCTTTTGTTATTTGACCATCATGTTTTCACCCCTCATCGGCTGGTATATGATATTTGGTCTATTCTACTGTAAGATACCAAATTTGCCAAATCCTAAGATAATCAACGTTGTGACTCCACGAGCAGATCTTTGCTTGCTATTACACAATCGGTTCAATGGGGCTTTTGGTGCACTTAGGGAAAGAGTAGGCTCTACTCGACGATAAATTAATTTTTTTTTATGGTACTGCGCCGCAACGTCCCCTCTTCCACTCTGTTTATTTTATTTTATTTTTCCATTTTTGTTTTATTTATTTCCATGTTTTCTAACTGACCAACTCCAAGCTCCATATTCATTCCGAAGTCGCTGGATGCCCACTCGGAGACTCAGGTACAACTCTCTTAGTGGACAGGGATGTATCCGTCTAATCTATCCTTCTATAGGGACCATGGGCGGTATCAATGACAATAACCTTCTCGGCATTTTTTTAATTAGACCTTTAAAAGGAGCAGATCCCCTCGCTGAGGAGAGAAGTTACCCTTCATTCTTGGTCCTCAAACTTCCAACCCTTTTCTCCTTGGTCTACCACCTACCACCAACACAATAACAATGGGTGTCCAAAGAGCTCTGCCTAATAGCATCTCGCAGAGATACTCAGAACGAATGTCTGAAATGTTTTCATCGGGCTCGCCTGAGCCAAGCAATATCTACAGTCCACGAAGATCAATCGCTGGCTCTGTCGACGTACCGTCAGATGACGAAGGTAGTACTGGTTCAATGGATGAATGCAGTGACGAAGAGGATACCCATGGGCAACGCGTTGTCGAAACTAGAAGTGCCATGGAGCATGACCAAAGACATGTGAAGCCTCAGGACCCTGGGTACCCTAGAGACTCGACATCGACTATTATCGAGTGTATGGCGGAGTAAGTGTCCCAAACCATATCAGGAATCCTCCTCGGTCTGCCTACTAAAGTACTTTTCTTCCAGATTAGATGTGCGAGTGCAGTAAGTATATAGATTTGAAAAACATGGCAGTAATCACATACTGATACGCGTCAGGTCTGTTGAGGACTCCCTCCTGAACCAGAATCTGTGGAACAACGAAATGCACCGAGAGGTGGCACATATCATGGCGATTGTCGAAGCGATGAGGGAAGACGTGGCTGCATTGAAAGAAAAGGTTGGGATGGTCTAGGAGGACAACGGCAGGGACAGTGATATTGAGGATCGAAAGTCCGGACGCTTCAAGCGCCCAGCGCAGTGAGGTGGTGTCGCTATCATTCAGAAGTAAATTCAAGTGCACATTGTACTAGAAGGGCGCTGAATATTACAATAATCGACACCAAGTCCTCAGTGATCCGTCAATCGTCTACAGGTCCCTTCGCTCTGTGTATCGATTACTATTGGCCAACGGTTCTCCCTCTGCCGCTATCCCCGTCGCCATGACCATCTGGTACTATTGGGTATATATCAAACACTCTGCACCATGACACGATGCCATACGGCGTTGAATCTATCAGCTGCCATTGCCTTTGATACAAAGACAGAGCGGTGCGCCGTGAGAATAGTCCCGCTCCTCGCACACCATATTGTCCCCAAGCGCACAGTAGTAATTATCTGTGCAATCCTTGAGGCTCTGGCACATTGTCCCATAAGGCGGGACATTTTGGTCAGTGACGCAAGTGCACTTTGCGCCGCCGCCATAATCGGCGCATTGAAGGACCTTGCCTTTGGCGCAGTCGCCCTTGCACTGGCCGCCAGAGTCACAATCACCTCCAATCGGGATAGAGGTGGGCTTAGTAGACGTTGGAGCGGGCTTGGAAGTGGTTGTGGTTGTGGTTGTAGTAGCGTAGATAGAAGAAAACATAGCTTCGATGGAAGACGATAAAGCACGAGCGGCCGAGGTGTCAAAAGTGTCATCAGGGTTGTAATAATCGACCCAAGCAGTGATTGATTCTTCGTCAATCGTCGTGGTGGTGGTTGAAGCCTCAGCGCTGCAAGCAGTAATGGTCTCACAGCTGGTAGAGGTCTCGGTTGTATATGTTGAGGCGGGCGTGACAATAGTAGAGTAGACAGTTTCAGTGCAAACATCAGCCTCTCTAGCCTCGCAGTCGTCGTCTTCTGATTCACAGCCTGGGCCCGTGCAAATTCCATCTTGACAATTGGGACCAGTGCACGAGACCCTATGACACTTTGACCCGGTGCATTCGCCTGTGCTGATGTCACAATCAATGCCGATGCATCCGACAGAAATACAATCGAGTCCAAAGCAGCCACCTGAGTTGTTGCAGTCAGGGCCCTCGCACCCTACTCTCTTACAATCAGGACCGTCACAGGATCCACCTTTGCCACAGTCACTGCCAATGCAACCAGAATACTTGCATGAATCATCGAGACAGGTGCCGTTGTCACATCCGGAGCCTGTGCATCCCTTTTTCTGACATTTGGAGCCAGTGCACTCTCCATTGTGACACTCAGGGCCAGTACAGCCGGAATGACTAGCAGGAGGATCAGGATCCGCTGGGTCCTTCCAGCTTTCATGGGCCTTGGGGTCATCACAGTCAAGCAAGCACGGTGTATGGCAGAAGGAGGTACACTTCGTTCCACAGCCAGATGTACAGGTAGGGCCTGGGGGACCACCTTGAGTGAATTTGATGGTAGGGGTCGGAACTGCCACAGGCAAAGGAGAAGTGGACCAAGGCCAGGGAGGCGGATACAAAGTACGGTTGGCTGTCCCGGTGTGTGTGATGCCTGGGAAGTCTGGTTTATCGGTGAACACGATTGGGTCCAGTGCAAAACTAGGGAACAGTGTTGTGGAAGTACTTTTGACGTTAGTTGCGGTGATGTTCCAATTCCACCATGGGATTTTGTTCGTCCTGATCTCAGGTATAGCAAAGGTTGTCGTCTGCACAGTGCGGGTCACTGTAGTAATGACGGTAGTCTGCCCAGAAACAGTCACAGTCTGAATCGTAGGCCAGGCCACCTCGATTGGAGTCACCAAGGATCCGATAAAGAATATAGTCTCGGAATCCAAGGTCGAGGGAGCAACAATGATATTAACCGGACCCACGCCAGTGACAATGTTAGAGCCTGACTTTGAATCGGCAACAGACGCGTCGACGTGAAGATCGCCACTATCACCATCAGAACCAGAGCCAGAACTCGAGCCAGAACCCGATCCAGTGGAGCTCCCAGATTGCGCTACACAGGCGCCTTCGGGACAGTACCCGCGCTGACAGGTGTATTCACACAAAGGACCATAGACGGCTGAGTCTTGCTCGGGGGCAGCCGCGCCAGTGACATCGGTCGTGGGGTTCATGACATTCACAGCTCCCTGCCCTGTACACGTGCAGGCGTTGATTGGACAGAAGCCATGGTTACAGGCGAAGTCACAAAGGCCACCGAGGTTGCCCACGCCAGTGCCTGAAGTGCACGCCGGAGGTAAGAATGGCGAGACGGAGGGCGTTGACAGGGGGACCTCAACGGTACCACATGCCGAGGGAGGACATAATCCGAGATTGCAATCAAAGTTACAAAGTCCGCTGTAGCTCGCACCTTCTCCTGCGATCGGATATCCTACCACACCGGTCGAGTTCGGCTTTTCATAGCCGAGTCCCATTTTTGTGCAGGTGCAAGCTCCGAGAGGACAGTAGTTGTATGTGCATGCGAACTCACAGAGACCCGCAAAGTTGTTAGCGCCGGTCCCGTTCATACACTTTTGGTCAGAAAGCTCGATCTCTGTTTTGGCAGACACTGTGCTCTCTGTCGTCGCACTACCTACCCAGGCATTCCAGTTCTGTATGCCATTTGTGCAACTTCCAGAGATGGCTTTGCCCTCAATAGTGGCGATCACAGTGGAACCTCGCCTCAAAGACACTGTGACTGGTCCAGTGCGACCATCAAAGGCGACACTGCCATGGTAAACACCAACATCATCGTCTGGGACAGATGACCAGCCGACTGTCTCGGCAACCCCTCCAATCGAGACCACGGCTCCAGAGAAAGAGCCCAGAACAGCGGAGAAGAAAATTCGATCTTGAACCATTTCTGCCGGAGGGAATTCGATTTGCAACTGACCGGCAGTGTTACCACTAGTGCCTCCACTGCTGCAAGCCGCTGCAGGAGCCGGTCGATACCAGGCAATGATGCTCTCCTGGGTCACCTCTGCCGACCCCTTTTTGTACATATCAATCCAGTAGGGTAGAGTGTTTCTCCAACCATCGTGAGGCATATCAGTGACGTAGTTGTACGGGGCCTGGCCAATCTCAAATGCTTCCATCGCTTTGTCAACCAAGGGTCCGATGTAGTGGGACTCTCCATAATCGTTCCATGAGATAATTTCAACAAATTCGGGCTGCACATAAAGGACCTCCTGCCAGCGGTCATGCCAAAGGTGATCGCCTCGCCATATCCAGTTTTTCTTGTACCCCGGCAAGTTGGTAAAGAACCAAGGTGAGACCGGCATCATGTATGGCATGCCTTCCAGGTACTGAATATAGGATGCATCGATATAGGTGTTCATGTCTTCATCGCCCCAAGGCCAGCCAGCCCAGCTGAAGAGACCATCCACAACACCTGTCTCCACAGCGGGCTTAGCTCCAAGAGAGGACCAGCTCGGAATGAAAAAACAGTTCGTAGCAAGTTTGATCAAAGGCCAGTCATCGGCGCGACCTGGTCCCTCGAATGTGGAAACAAAGGCCTTTCCCTTGTAGAAAAAGTACGATGAATGGGCGCTGTATTCCTGGATCAAGGCGATAACATCATTTTTCGGCCAGTCTCCATTGCCAGCATAATCAAACGAGAAGAAAAGTTTGAAGCCGACAGAATCAGCCGTCGCAAAGGCAGCAGAAAGAGATTTCATGTTTGTTGGATCATTATAAGCCATATTCAAGGCAAAAGCATCAATGTGCGCATCTTGTGCTAACTTCATGTCATTTTCCCAATCACTGGATGTATAATTGGCCGAGTTCGTGAGCTGGTTGTGCTGTCAGCAATTGGAAGTCATCTTCGGCGACAAGTCGGAAAATACCATAAAATGAGCAAAGACAGCCGCTGCCTGCACTCGGCAGGCGAGCAGGAGGGCTGTAACCCAAGCCACGAACAATCGCATGGCTGGTGTTGATATGTTGAACACTGGGTGCTAAGGTCTTGCCCCCAGTACCTCAATGCCGGTTGTTGTTCTCTTGAATATAGAGATCTCGAGCTCCTTTTCTAACTTGCATAGCGGGTGCCTCGGCTGGGTGAGGTATTTTTTATATTTTCTTTCGCGATAGATAATTTCATGAAAGGTGGATTCTATTATCAAATTTAGAGGCAAATTTCGGTGATAACCGGTGAGCTTGCCTCCTACTAGGTACTCGTTACTAGCTTGCATCTAAAGTATTGTATTGGCCCACTACACTAGCGGTATTAGTGAGAGAGATGCATTTCAAGTTGAATGCCGAAAGCGCCGAGCGTCTGGCTGGCATGCCAAGCCGCGCTAGAGATAACGCCCTAAATCTTAGCTCGGTAGACAGTTCAAAAAGTGCCATCGCGGCAACTCTCGATACAACGTCGCGTACTCAAGCAGGAAACGCGCTCTGAGCTAGCGTTGGAAAGCTATACATTTTTTTTTTAAAAAAAAAAAAAACTAAGTCAATCTGTGAACCTAAGTAGCAAGCTAAAAAAGTATAGGCTAGTTAGTTTTTTGAAACAGGTGAAAAAGATCGAGGACCGCAAGCGGAACCAATCTTGGATACAACCCAGCGAAAGAGCGCTAGCTATTCTCGAAGCGCAATTAGAATTCTCTAATACTATGTTTGCTGTATCTCCGTCTGAAGGTTTTCCTTGGTACCGAAGCTCTTTCCTTTTATTGGGCACCTCTTATTCAAAATAACACATGATAACTATTCCATACACGAACAACCCGAAGTCCTGCCGACACCCAGTACAATTCCCTCGCAGTGACCTAAACCACCCAAAGAACGGATATGTTTCCACCAAATTAAAGCTTTTGGTGGTGACCCTTCTGCTTATGACGGAGGATTTCGCGTCTAGCATGAGCCTTCGAGAGCAGAATCACGTTAGCCGTAGGTCCAGAGCAACATGCTTGAAAAGAATGATAACGAACCGAGTAAGCAATCTCTGATGTTCTTGCAGTACTGATAACAGCGGAGTGCAACGAAGAGCTAGGAGTAGAAGTTGTTGGAGATTCATTGGCCGCTCTAGGCGTGCACCCGCCAAAGATGAATCCTGCATTATCCGAAACGCTCAACGCCTTCGTACGATGCAGGTCACATTGATTTGACTGGTCAACATAGAGCCATGCTTGGCATGTTGATACCTTCTCACACCATCTTTGGCAATCCAAGGCTGTTGCAAGCTCATAGCTAAAGGTGATGGGAGCGCTGTTGAAATAAGCGATTGTACCACTGTGGATGTAGCCTTGACAATCAGGCAGTGCCTCACTTCCTTGGAGAGCCAGGGCAATCACAAGTAAAATCGAACGGATAGAAGCCATGGAGGTAAGACGGTGGAACGGTGCGGAAGGAAGATTGCAAGGACATCAAAATCTTGGGCAACTGGAGGTCAATTTCCACATCATATTAGCCCAATTTTGAGTGGATAGTTTAGCCTATATTAATGGATAAAAGTAGTAAAATGCACTATCGGGTTTTCCTCGTTCCTCCCCTGTCTTATGTCTCTGCAACTCGCTTCGAAGACCAGCTAGAGCCCCGGGGCACAACTTTCAAGTAAAAATGTGGGAAGTGGATCGTGCATACTCGTACATCCAAGTCAGGTTTTAGGATAATAACAGTCCCGCTTCAGTTCCACTAGATAAGTACTACCATGTGCATCCATGGTTACATATATGGCCCCCAATCTATCCGAAAGGTATATATGGTGTAACCTAAGCATTTGACCTCCCACCATTGTAGTGGGCATACTGTCGACGGCACTAAAAAGTTGTGTCACTGGCTACTCGATCATCTGATCCGATAAGCAACCTTACCATGCAAAGAGGTATGGTTTTTTGGAGGCCTTTAGCCTGCACCTGGGCAGTAACACAAGTCGTGTTCATTAGCCGGAGCGCAAATGAACCATTCTATAGCGGATAACGCCCCCAGGACCTAATTACACTATATCCAAGTGCGGTATATCCGGGTAAAGATGCCTTCATTTTAGTCGTATGTTCAGTCGTATTACTTCTTACTAGTATAGTACAGTATACGGAGATACTCCACACAGGCTAGCACGAGGGTTGTAGATTTTCCGGTCCAGACAGATCCGCTCGGGAAGGAGTGGAGCTATCCGGACGAACAGTCGAAAATTTTTCTAGCGGAGACCCTACGGAGTACAGTGGCCGCACAGGCCTGAGTACATTCGGCGCCTAATTTCTGCCACTTAATCTGCCGGTTCAAAATATCCCTGACTTCCTAACGTTCGATATACCATCCATTTAACGCAATAATAGCCTATACTCTCCATAGCATGCTCTCCGAAAGGCTTTTCAAAATACTCAGATCAAGCTACTACCATGCCTCCTCTGCAGTTTTAATTGAAATATCCAAATATTTGAAGCTGGACTAATCTGAATTAGGAAAGGACGAGAAGAAGGCGGTAAATTTGATTGCCTCAAACATTTGCGGCGCCACTGCAGGAGCTAAAGCTTGTACGAAATGAATATACCCATACTGCGAAGTGGAGAAGGGAATGGTAGTTAGCCAATTTTCTGTCCTCGGTACCAGGTTCCCTTTTAGCACCACCTCCGAGGTTTTGGCTGGCGTTGTTGATTTTGGCTGGCGTTGTTGACTTTCATATGCTATACAGTACTGTATCCGATATCCGAGGAGCCGGAAAACCTCCGGGCCACATTCCATTCCAGATCGACTATAGGTTCCACTAGATAAGGGGCAACAATGAAGACGTACTCGTCCAATCAAACGTTTTGTATACCACACTTAAAGGGTCTAAAGGTCCTTTTACTCCACATTTGTGGCCCTTCGCTTACATATACGCTAGGCGTATCTATAAACCATGGGCCCACTCCCGGTGGGAGTTGTATAGGGACTAGTATGTTGCGCGATTAAATTAGTACTCAAAGTAGATTTCACTGGAACGCTACTTTGACAAGTTTGAGAATTTCTACTGTACCACATCGTGTTGGTATTAGAGTGAGTTGGTAATAGCCCTATTGGAAAAATTATCATGGTTTCTGGTCTATCCCGTACCTGAGTATTTTGTACATATGACAGTGCCATCCTCCAGTACTTTCCAGTCCCAACATCATACACTCATTTCCAAATATCTTTTGCTTCTGCACATTACACCTTCGTTTGACTCAAATGATGGGTTTTGCTCGCCCTGTAGGGGCTTTCAGAACCCTACTTGCCCAGCTTATGCTCTTGACGCAAATTGTGTTGATTGCGCAAGCTCACCCTTACAGCAATCACTCTATTTTCCCACTAGGCTCGGAGGATGACCTCCATCATGTCTTTACAAGAGCCACTGATGCTGAATTTACGGCCCTGCCAAATTCTGGTAGAATTCGAGTGCACACGAGCTGCTTGAACCATTGGAGTTTAGGTGACTGGGATGCCACTATTAATCAACTAAAAGCTGTGGTAAGTGAATTTGTCCAGAATTCTCGGGGCATGAGCACCGGGATGAGCTCAGAGGTGGGATTTACATTTTTCTAATACCGATCATGAGGCAGGCCAATTACGGCGCGCTGGCTACTCAAATGACACTCGACATGATCAACAACAACATGAACAACAACAATCCAACCCTGCATCCTCAGCAAAGACGGATGATAGATCTCTTCATGGTTCTTTATGGGACCTTCAAGTGGAATGATGTCGCTGCAAAGACAAGAGTCAGAGACCGCGCTATACGAGTGAATCGTAGGTTACAAATACCCATTCAGCACAAAATGCCACTGCCTCCAACCTTACGAAATAAATATTCTAGAAATGGCTGCTATTTTTGCGAGTGGTCTGATCCAAAACACGGCCATCTGGAATTTCATTTGCGACGAGAGCGAATGGGTCCTCGACCCTAACGTCCCTTCTCATATCAAAAAAGGTGCGTATTATCCAGAAATATCCCTTCATTCGAACGTTGATCATCATGGAACCATATCTGACCTTTAATATGTGTAGAATATTGGATGATCAATGCCCTACCAGCTGGTCCTCGCAGTCAGAAAAACAGCACGTCTCTTTGTACGATTCCAAACGGTTTTGCGGCTGGATACGGCGGTGGACAAGCGGAAGCAGTGACGTTAACAGCCACTCACACTCCGGGTCAACCTAGTTGGATGGTATTTTGTGCTGGGGTGTGGTATGTGTTGCAATTTCAGACGAAAGTCTGGTTTCAACCTGCAAAGAAAGCAGCAGTTGTGCAAAACGGTGATTTTCTTTATCATATGATACACAACACACCGGAGCGACTCCTCGCGCATGAGTTCACCCACGGGCATACCCAATTTGGTGCTTATCGTGCAAGTAAGTACTCCACGATACGACTTCCAACATATCGGTCTGCTAATGAATGGTTCTTTAAATTGCTTTAGTGGATATAGCGTATGGCTGGGGAGAGATCGTTGCACTTGCTATAAAAGACAACGCTCAAACTGATGCTACCCAGTCACTGGCTGTCATGAATGCTGGTACAGTTTCTTTTTCTGAAATATTGACTAGTGAATCGTGCTAATTATCTCCAGATACTTTCACATATTGGATCAATGGTAAGTTGCAGAAATCCTTATGGCTCCCTAAGACGACAGGCGCTACATTGAACTAACCACCGACGGCTAGGTGTATATTTAGAGATGTGTAACTTCCGTAGCGGGAGGTGTGAAGACCCTGATCTGGCAGCAAAAACGCCCTAAACCCCGGACTCTTCCCGACTCACCGTGTGCAAGCAAGTCTTCATCGGGCCTCTTCGTTTATGAGGATCTCTGCTCATTTGGTATCCCCGGGGCCCAGTTTTGATCTTAGAGCATATTCATCTCTGTGCCTATTCATTCTAACGAGCAAGCGAAGTGTTCCATTTGTTCCAAGGTTAGAAACGTTTCATATGACTAATATCCCTTTCACGTATCTTAATAGTAAACTTGGAACCTTTTTTCTTAGTATATAATGATAGAGCTCAATAATTCTGCGAATAATTGAGATAAATTCAAGCTGACATTTTCCTAATATCGATGACATCCAAAAGGACATCCCCAGGGCGGCTTCTTGTTCCTTTTGCAGTCACAGTCTAATCTAGTAGATGAGCCGCTGTCCTTCCCTATCATCTCGTCGAACCAATCCGCCATTTCTAGCTTCCATCAGTAACTACAGAGTGTAAATTGGGAGGTACCACTAACCTTTGTCTTCCTTGCGCTTAATAATGCGATCGGCCGGGCAGCTAGCAATTGGCCTTAACCGGGAAATCCAATCCTTCAACGAAATATTGGCTTTGTGAATGTCAAAATCCACTTTGCCCCTTTGTTTATCTGCACTGTCGATTCTTTCGAAATCGTAATAATTGTCGTCACAGATAATATCTTCTAGGGAGAGTGTTTCTAGAGATAACTCGTTCCGTAAAAATTTCAAAAAGCTGGGCACAGAAGTGATCTTTTCTTCGTTGCGTTTCCATGCCATTACGGTTTCCCGGGTGGGACAGACAAAACCTCCAGCTGTTTCGGATGGCTCATATGGGTGATATGTAGACATCCACTTTCTGCTCCAATATTCTTCTGTCGACGCCTCAGAGGAATCGGAAGCCGAGGAATGCTGGGGTGATTGGGGTGCACTTTCGGCTGATGCTGTTTCTGATGCTGGTAGGACTGATAGAGGGGCTGGTCCATATTCTTGTGGGGATACAGTCGGTCTGTACGGTGAAGATGTTGAAAATGATGGCGGTGTTGGTTGAAATGATGGGACTGTAGGTCCATATGATTGCAAGTTTGGTTGATATAATCGGACTGAAGGTCCATCGTATGGCGAAGTTGGTTGGTATGGTGGCACGGTAGGTCCATCGTATGGCGAAGTTGGTTGGTATGGTGGCACGGTAGGTTCATTGTATGGCGAGGTTGGTTGGTATGGTGGCACTGTAGGTTCATCGTATGGCGAGGTTGGTTGGTGGGATGGCACTGTGGGTTGATATAATGGCGATGTATATCGGACAGATCTTTCATTTTCCTGGCGGTCAGGGGACTCAGCATCTTGTGATCGAGGATTTTCTGTGGCTCCTGACTCCTCGCTGCGCATTCTAACCCGTTTGACTGTAAGAGTGACCAGACCTTTCTTGACACTGAGCAAAAGTGATCTCAAAGAGCTGAAATCGATATCAAGCTTCTTTATATGAAGGTTTCGGAGTCGAGTGAAGCTAATGTCATGGAACATGTTTCCAACGTAGCTTTTAGCCGGATAGGCATGCATGTCATCTTGAACAAGATCAAAAGGCATATGATGTTGCGACAGGGTCAGTACTTCCAGTTGAGGTGCAATCTTCCTGAAAAGCTTCAGCCAAGCCGCCTCATCGAGATCGATGCATAAATGAAGATCCTCGAGGTCTTCTAAAGTAGATAGTAGAGAATCAAATTGCTCTTCGGAGAGGGCAATCCTGGGGCCGATATCACAGCAGAATTTAGAATCGCAAGTGGATAGCTTTCGGGGTCTGCAGCTTAAGCCACATAACGCAAGAAAAAGCTTTGATAACGCCAAGGAGTTCATTTTCCGTATCTGACTATCCTGGTGGGTGCGCGTAGACTCTTGCAGGCTGTAAACATCGAATCGAAAGTCGATGCGGCTCATCATCTGTCGCCTTCCGAGGAATGGAACTGTCTGCTGTCGGGGGTCAAGCAAAAATTCCGTTCTGTAATGTGCGAGTCCGATTGTTTGGATGTTCTTGAATCGATCCATACATTCCCGAAGTCGAAGACTGAACGTTTCTGATTCCAGCAGGTTGCGATTGTCCGCAAGCATGTCTTTTTGGACAGCACGCCGGCTTTCCAGCTCGTCGCCTTTGACCTGCCGGCAGCTTTTTGACGATATAGATATCATGCCGAGGGACCCTTCAGCGCCATCGAACACCACAGGAATCATCCATAGCTCTTGAACGTGCTCGCGGAGACCATTTGACTTGGATAGTGCTTCCAGTTCGTGGAGACCTTCACTTGTCACAATGAAACGAATTTTTCGGAAATAGGTCTTCCCAAAATTCTCCAGTGAGTTTTGGTACAATGCGCGACATGATAACCTCAGAGCAACCAATTGCTGGTAATCCAAATGGTTACATATTTTTGAGATCAATTCGACGGGCAGGACTGCAATGGACATTTTGGCTGCGCGCGCGACGTTCGAGGTTGAGAACAGTAATACCAAAAAGCTCGGATTGTTATCCGCATTAGTGAGTAGGAATCGTAGAATAATTGCTTTTCAAGTTCCGAAATTCACGAAAAACATGGAGTTCAGTGACCGGGAAAGTCAGACAATGGTGTCTGCCAGAATTTGTGCGAGGTAGAAAGCTTTCCAAAGGTAAGGAGGAACAGGAACAGAGGCGAGAATTGTGATTCCAGACGAGGACTAGCCCTGGAGCCCTGGAGCACCCAGGTGGGCCGGACTAGTAAGGGGTACTGCACACATGTACCCTGCTACGCAAGCTCGGAAGAAAACCCGCATTAGCGCGCCCCATGCACTAGTAATAAGAATTGTATTTTTACAGACTCATACAGCGTAAAAGGAGAAGGTTGACACTGGAAATATCAATTTAACGGGTTCTGATCCGCGCACAACGGATTTTGGGGCTTGGCACAACATTAGATAATCATATTTTTAGATAATCAACAATTTCGGGGAAAACAGGGTAAATATCACATGATTGTTAACCTCATCTATCAATCTGATCATATATGAAAGCACACAACAAAAATAACCTCATAATTTCCGCATTGGGCAGCCCCGAAACGTATGACCGCCCTCTCCGCACTGTGAGCACCTGCTTAGAGCCTTCCGCTTCCTCTTTAGACCTTCCTCCTTCCTAATTAGGCCATTTCCACCCCTTTTTAGCTTCTCTAGTATCATCGGAGGGAGAATTAGGACTAATTAGGCACTAGAAACGGGTTTGAGATACTAAAAAGGGTCAATTTCATCTAATAGTGTTACGGTATTTCTTTATTATACTATTTTGCCTTAGGCTCCCTTTCTTTTAGACGGAGGAGACCCCTCCGAATACCCCACGATATCGGGACGGAACTAATATGATCCGGTTCCGAGAAGCGGGGAACCTAATTCATAAAAGGAAGATACCTATAGGGATAAGGAAGGTAAGATTTAGTCTTATAACTAATATAGAATCGAATACCCTTCGTTCTAACTATATATCCCTCTCGTATTATTATTTACCTAGTTAATAAGTACTACCTTAATAAATAGTTACCTTAATAATTCTAAATCTTCTTCTTTAACTATCTAAAGAAATAATAACGAGATAGAGTTTATAATCCTAATAGGGTAATAAGGAGATACCTCTATAAGAAAACCCTACTATCTATAAGATAGAGAAGAGAGAGACCTAATCTTTATTAGGACTCTTAGAAATACTTACTACTATTAGTAGAGATAATCGATAACTCTTCGAAACTACCCCGAATCCTTAGTAAAATAAGAATAATTCTTAAGTAATCCTTAAGAAAGAAACCTTCTAAGCCCTTATAATAAGAATTAAATAGCTTAAAAGAGTAGCTAAAATACCTATATATCGTAGTTAGATCTATAGTAATTCCCTAAATCTATATAGTTAGGAAATCTATTTTAAGAACTTTAACTTTATAAAAGAATTCTTAATCTAAGAAAGAGAAGACTAATTACTTAGGCTACGCCTAGAATTTAAAGAAGTAAGTAAAAAATATAGTATCGAAAAATAAAAGATTTTTAGTACTTTATCTTATATAAATAGGAATTACTAATAACTTTAGTATAACTACTTAGATAAAATACTCTTAACTCTAAGCTAAATTATATAGGGTTTATAGGCTTATTTTAAAGAATAAACTTTATTTTTAATAAAAAATTCTATAAATATATAAGCTACTATTACTAACTAAATATAAAGAATAATCTAGTAAAATAATTAAGATCTAAGAGATTTTTACTATAAGTTAAATCTCTTAGAAAAATATTTCCTAAAGTAAAGCGAGAAATAAAGAGCTTTTATCTTCTTTTTAAAACTTAATTATAGACTCTAAGCCTATATCTATAAATATAATCTAACCTTTCTAAAAACTTAAAAGGAGATAGTTTCTATTATATTAAAATTTTAGGAGCTTTAAAACTAAAAAACGAAACCTAAATAAAAAGCGACTAAATTAGGGTAAGAAGATCTAGATATAAAGAAGAAAAAGAGAAAATTTAAAAAATATAATAAAAATAAAAACTCCTCCGAAAAAAGAAATCTAAAAGACTTAAGATTAAAAAGGTAAGAAAATCCTATTAATAAAAAGATAGGAAAGAAACTTACTTATTATACCTATTAAAGTAAGGATTATCTTTTAAATAAATATCTAAACGACTCCCTAATAAAGAAAATAAAAATATAACTAATAAAAGTAAAAGGATCCTTAATAAAATAATAGGAAAATAAAAGTGGGTTAGAGTAGATTTCCCTATTTTAACCCCCTAGATCGGAATAATAATACGCTTCTATACTTTAATCCTAATAGGAAAAATTAAAACTTTTATAGACCTAGATAGTTATATAGAAGTCGATCTTATTAGTTATAAGTTTATAAAAACTTAAAAACTTTAAAAGGCGAAACTTATACTTTCTATTATTAAAATAGTAGAATATAAAAAAGTAACTATATATAAGATATAGAATATCTTTATAACTATTATAAATAGTAAAAGAATTACTAAAATATTTATATAACCCTATATTACTATTAATAAAAATCTAAAGATTTTAGGTAATCTAATATTACTATTAATAATAATCTTAGTTAACTAAAAAATTAATCTTTCTTTACTAAACCGAAAATAGTAGTTTAATATCCTAAACTATAAAGCGATAATCTTATATTAGTTTATAAAAAAGTATAGGAACTATATATATATCTATACTATAATAAAAATACCTAAAGAAGTATAGCTCCTATATAAAGAGAAAGAGGATATAAAAAAATCTCTTAATTTATCTTTAGAACTATAAAGATTTTATAATATCTTCTCTATAAAAAATATATAAACCCTTCTCTTAAATAAAGTTATAGACTATACTATTAATATATTACTAAGAGAAAACCCTCTTTATAGACTAATCTATCTCTTATCCTAAAAGAAACTAAAAGAACTTTAAGAATATATTAATAAGAACTTAAAAAATAGATAAATCTAACTATCTAAAAGTCCTATAAAAGTACTAATTCTCTTTATTCTAAAAAAGGATAGCGGGTTATATCTCTATATAGACTACTAAGGGTTAAATAAAATCTTAGTTAAAAACTAATACCTATTATTATTTATTTTAGAAATTCTAAACCGATTAATAGAAGCTAAATAGTTTAGTAAAGTCGATATCTAAGATATATATTACTAAATTTATATTAAAGAAAGAGATAAGTAGAAGACTATATTTCGTACTTAATATAGGTATTATAAGTATATAGTTATACTATTTAGACTAACTAATACTTCTACTATATTCTAAAGTTATATCTATAATATATTAAGAGATTACTTTAATATAATCTATATAATATATCTTAATAATATACTAATATTTTCTCTAATAAAGGAATCTTATATAAAATACCTCTAAAAAGTTCTCGAAAACTTTAGAAGAGCTAGCCTATATATAAAGGCCTTAAAGTATATATTCTATTAGGAAAAGGTAGAGTTCTTAGGATTTATAATAGGTTTAAAGGGTATCGCTATAGATCTCTAAAAAGTAGAATCTATTAGGAACTAAGAACTCCCTAAAAGCTATTATAATATCTAAGTATTTATTAGATTCTATAACTTTTACTATTAGTTTATACTATAGTTTTCGTAGATTATACTTCTATTAACTTCCCTACTAAAAAAGTTAAAAAATAGAAGAAAATCTATATAAGTTTAGTTTAATATCTATAAAAAACTTATATTTTACTATCTAATTATAGTATTTTAGTTACTAATACTACTATACTATTTTAATCTAGAAAGGGATACGCGATTAGAAACTAATACTTCTAATAAAAATATAAAAGGGATTATATCTTAGAAGGATAAAAATAGGAAATAGTACTTTATAGTCTTTTAGTTCTAAAAGTTTAATAGGGTTAAACTTAACTATTCTACCCTAAATTAAAAACTATTCGCTATTATTCACTTATTTAAATATTAGTAATACTATTTAGAAGGAAGTATCTAATCTATAGAAGTTCTATCTAATTATATAAATTTATAGACTTTTATAAAGTAGCTAAAGCTAAATAAAAGATAAGCGAGATAGTATATATTCCTATCTTTATATAACTTTTTTATTAAATATAGACTAAGAAAAATAAATCCTATAGATATATTATCCTAAAAAATAGATCTAAAACTAAGAGATATCTTAGTAAAAGATCTACTTAGACTATTATATAATAGAATCGTTATTAGAATACTACTAAAATAGAGTATTACTATAGCCGAATTACTAAGTATTAGTAATTTATATACTAATAAATCCTAGTTTAATCTAGAACGGACTAATATAAATAGCGATAAAGCTAGTATAGAAGTAGCTAACTAGGCTATATAGGAAGAGTTAGATTATAACTAATAGATACTCTATAAAATAGTTAAATATATATACCGAAACTAATCTATATATATATAGGAAGTATAACCGGACCTCTAAAATCTAATCGAGAAAATCTAAAATAGCGATCCTAAAATATATTACCGAAAACTTACTATTTCCTAATTAAAACTAAGTAATAAAGATTAAAGCGTTAATCTATATAGTATTATAAGATATAAAGAAAGACTCTATATCCCTATAGGGGAGAACTTAAAGAAAAAACTCCTTAGTCTTTATTATAATAATACCCTAATAGGATATTTTAGTAAATATAGAATATTAATATTACTATAAAGATATTTCTATTAATAAAATATATACTAAGATATTATAGAATATATATCTAAATATATAGTATATTAAAGAAATATATATCTAAATATATAGTATATTAAAGAAATATAACTCTAAGATATTAGTTATATAGTATACTTAGAATACTACCGATTCCTACTTAACCCTTCGCTAAATTATCGATAGATTTTATTATAGGATTATTACTTATAATTTA